TAGAAGGTTTTTTTATTCTGAATTCAGCCATGTATATTACAAGGTGGTTTATGTGTGTTTCGACCTATTTTTAGTCATCATCAATGTTTTTTCGGAATTCCAAAGGAAAAATGCCATCAGTTCCACTTATTTTGAAGGAAAATTAGTCAACACACTACTACCTCATCAACTGGTTTCAATCAACAACCCATTTCATTTTGCGGTAACAAAAATTCCATCCATACAGAATATGTCAAGCGCTAAAACCAGGCGATGACGAAAGGCGCAGGACATTCTGTGAGTGGTATACCAGGAAATGTCAAAATTTTGCAGATTTCCCTCGAACAATCATCTGGACTGATGAAAGCATAGTCACTAGATCTTGGTATCTTCGATAGAAAAAATATACATTATTGTTCACGAGAAAATGAACATTTATACATTACAGCGAGACACCAACACCGTTTCGGCTTTAATATGTGGGTTGCGATATTTGGTATACGAATTATTGGTCCTTTTATTTACCATGAAACACAAACTTCCGAACGTTATAGAAATTTTCTTGAGAATCATCTTGAGGAAGCTCTGGATGATTTACCGATTGCGGAAGTTTAGAACTGTTGGTTTCAACAAGATCCGGTACATAATTCCAGAGAAGTCCGTGCGCTTTTATCCAGAAAAATGGATTGGTACACATTCTACAGTCCCTTGGCCGGCGCGGTCGCCTGATTTGACACAGCTGGATTTTTTCTCAGGGGATATATCAAAAACTTTGTATACGCAAATAACTCTGATGATGAAGAAGAACTAAGGGACAGTGTCATCAAAGCATTCAATAAAATATAGCCCCAGAAATGCTTAGTAATGTCTTAGAAGCAACTGTGAGAAGATGATATCTTTGTTCACAAAAATAATGGTTATCATTTTGAACATTTGTTATGTAGGTTTCTGTAGGTATTGTCAAAGTTAAGTTGTTAAAGTATTTCGTGTAAGAATTCATCAACAATCTTAAGCGCTGCATTGAATGATGTAGTGAAATATTTTTTATTCACTTCTCGCTATTGAATCCATCAATGTTTGACACTAAATGATCAGAAATAAGTGGAACTGATGGCACTTTTCATTTGGAAGTTCGAAAAAACATTGATAATGGATAGAAATAGGACGAAACACATTCGAATCACTTTGTATAATAAATACATAGTTGAATTCAGAATTGAAAAACCTTTCAGAATCTGTGAAAAAACCGGACCGTATTTAAAAAACAAAAGTTGAGGATGATTCTACGGATACGAAACGTCGCATAAAAATCGGTATCACCACGTTTAACGATATCAAAAGTTAATACGAAAGAGTATTTTTAGTTCTTCTGTATCTCTAATAATAACGGAGAAAAAAATAGAGATTACAAAAATTCACTTTTTTCGATACAACTAAAAAACTAGAAATTATTTTGAAAATTTTCGAAGGCTCTTGATATGAGCCTCCGAATGCGCAACTTTTTCCCCACTCAAACCACTTCGTATCTCCTACTGTTTCCGAGATCCCCATGCTGTTCAACCTTTTCTTGGACAGACTGTATACTTCAACAGTGACACATAACAGGGTGATTCACGAAGTATGGGAAATCTCTGAACTACAGATGTTAAACACCAAAATATGGAGATTTAACCCACCACGCTTTATGGAAATGTTGCAGAATAGGGAACATTTTATATTAGTGGAGTAAAATCCACCGAAAAAGTCGCTCCGTTCTCGAAAAAAAATTTTTCAAGGTATAACCAGTTCCGACCTTCAAAATATAATGAAGTACATATTTTTCTATCAGAATATCATTGGACGACATTTTTGAGTGGGGACGAACTTTTTTATTTAGAAAAAACTGAAAAAATAAAGAATTTTCTAAAACACAGATTTTGAAATATATCTCCTCGTAACTCTAAAACTACAATAGGTATGGAGATCATTTTTTTTTCAATAGAAAACGAATTCTTTTCTGCATCTCACGATGGTATGATTACAGTATAAATTATCATCAGTTTTTTGTTAATTGATTGAGAACGCCAGATATCACTTTTCATGATATATTTTTTTCAACAATCGACAAACTTTTTTCTTGTTGATTTTTTTTGTATATATGCAGCGAATAAAATGTTGACAAATAGTCATGAAAGTTTTTGAAATAACAGAAATTTGTATATGTAGTATAGTTTTCGAAATATGATTTTTCAAAGATGTAGGTACGCATGGCATGAATATGCCTTTAGCGACAAGAGCGTGTTGGCGCGACTATAGAGCGTAGTTATAGGTTGTAGGGCAGTATGCAACAATCTGTTGAAGATGCAGTGTGTCATTTGCAAAAAGAGTGTATCATATAATGATAAAAATATTACAAAAAAATCCACGGATACAAGGCCTGCTCTCGTTATTATCAGCAGCGGAAAGAAGAATCAAGAAATGATATTTGTGTAGAATGTAGAAAAAGTTACACCAGCATGCACAATATTCAAATATTGCCGAATTTCACTGGTTGTCAGAAAAATACAGAAGCGGGACCATCAACTCGGAATGCAAATGTCATTTTTGATATTGGAAGAATGTGTATCATTTGTGATAGGGGCGGAAAGAGGAAACATCAGAAATTAGTATCTGTTCAAACAGGTACCTATGTGAAAATGTTTTCGAATTATAAGGACATTCGATAATATTTCATTGAGATCTCAATATCATTGAAGATTGAAAGAATAAGGATAATATCATTATTCAATAATATTATATATTTTGAACAATCTCGAAATAATTTTCATTTGAAATTAACGAACTTTAGAAATCTCATTATTCATTTGCCATATCAAAAAAAGCATACTATGAGTAGAATATCAATTATTATGAACTGATCTGAATGTCAATCATTCGGGAAATGAGTATACATCATGTCGTGACGATTTGACTAAAAATATAGATATAAATAGGACATGTTTTATTTTTGAATTATAATGTGTAGAAATATTCAAACCCAAAATTACGAATTAGGATGAATACAAAATTATGATTTATAGTTGATTTTATTTAACGATAGCATGATTTTATTTAACGATAGCCATTTTAATAAATGCTATCGAATTATAGGAACTGAAAAGAAAAGTTTTGATAAAATAGTTGACTCAGCAAAGAAACGGAACGATATAAATATGATTGGGAAAATTTCTGGATATTTGCTCATGATGCAAAAAGTATCACAAGTCTTGTTACAGTCAATATATTGCCCCAAGGAATATTAAATCATTTATAAATCTGTCGAAACAGAAAAAACATCATCAATTATATCACCAAGACATTCAAGGAAATAGTGAAGAAAATTTCGCAGAACAATTTAAGTCATCAGGATCCAGTAGCTCCAAAGAAGAATCCGAATTTTTCAACGATTCAAACGTAGAATCCGAAATGCAAATTCTTTATAAAGCTGCAGGAATAATAAAAAAACACATGGCAGAATTTCCGATACCTAACACATTTCCAATCAATTATTTCTAGATGTATATATCAATTGAAAATATGGTATTCATCCCTTTTACCATATATCCCTACTGAAAATCCGGAAAATTTTTGTTGGAAACACGAAAACGATTGTTGGAAGCCTGTTTTTACTAAGCAGGAACCTATTCCAAATTCTGTAAGAAAAATCCTGGCCATTCATTTTGCCGATAAAAACTGCACAAATAATAAGTGTATATGCATGAAAGAAGGGTTGAAATGTTCTAGTGAATGTAAATGTAGAGACTGCCAAAATACATTCAGGGATCCAGTTGAGCCAGAATCAGGAAATGAAGAAGAATACTAAAATGAATATCATTTTTTGTTTGATAGTTTGGTTTAAACTCGATTATATTTTGTAACTTATGAAATCGTCCAATTATCCATTATGAAAAATATGAATGCAGTATTATTTTCCTCTATACTTGCATCATTGACCTTGAAACCATCATAAGAACAATTTCTCAACATAACCACAGTAGAGAGCTTACATAGCACATAGCACTGATGGAGCGGGTATTGGGAGTAGGCACTGGTATTGCGCTGAGCGCGAACAGTTACCGGAGGCGCGGAATTAGCATGTTTTTAAAAAATCATACCTTCAAAACTATTTCATATGTATCGAATTTTTTTAATCTAAAAACTTTTTCGACTCATTATCTCAATTTCCTTCGCTGATTGTATATAAAGAATTCGAATAATAAAAAAGTTTTTCGATCAGTGAAAATTTCATCTCACGGTTTTCACTATTTCATATTCTCAACTTATTCAGAAAAAAACCCGATTTCATTACATCATTCTATTGGCATGATGAGAAGCGCTAGATTATCTTCTTTCGATCAAACGAAAAAGCAAATCAATATCTCGAGTAGTTCTCGAAATATTGAATAATATGTTTAGAAAAACACGATTTTCGAATATCCAACTTTTTTCGTATTTTACTGAATAAAAAAGTTCGTCCCCACAGAAAAATGTCGTCTAGCTGGACTATGATGGAAAATCACATAAGGAACATTATCTAATAGGTCCGATTTGGTTATACCTCGAAAAAAAAAAACGACACATTTTATCCCCGATTTTACTCCTCTATATTGAAATTTTCCTAAACTGTGGTCGACATTTATACCTTGTATCTCTTAAATCAGCAACATTCTTATGAGGCATGTCAGGTCAAATCTTAATATCTTAGCGTTTACTATCTGTATCAGAGATTTCCTATTCATAATGAATCACCCTGTATTCAAAACTCACACATCAAAGTACCGTCGTGTACCAACGGGCCGAAGGCGAGTGCTGTAATCATCTGAATGAGTTAGCTATTATGCGCGACTACAATACTATACTTTATCTACAGTTGAAAAAAAACATCATTTGATATTCATAACACATTGATGAATCAACTATAATTTCTCAGTTTCTCTCACAAAAGCTTGATTTCAACAAAAATGAGGACATATTATAACTATGAAGAATAAAGTTGAGCTTACCTCCGGTATAAAAAGAGGAGACTCCAATTACGGGTTCTTCCAACTCAAAGCTCTGATAGAAGAAATAATTGTCATATTCGGGAATATACCTCAGTACTTGAACTGGGGCGATTTTATGAGCCATGGCTATAAAGCTATCCGTACCCAAAACGACGCCAGTAGCTTTGGAACAAGCAAACGACGGTATAATTCTCAGCAACTCAAACTGAAACAATGAATAAATATTGCAAGTTGAACATCCCAGTAATTGTCGCTTTGAAACTGTAACACACTCTCGTACTTTGGAATGCGATGGCCTATTTCGAAAAATAAATACTCCAAAATATTCATAACTAGAATGATAAATGATGTGCGAAATGCAAAGTTCTGAAAACGTACATGAGTAGAACCTATGCACTATACAGACCAAGAGCGACCGATGAGTCCCGGTGGACCGAAACGGTACTGTCTCGCTCTTGCTGACAATTCATCTTATCTTTTAGCTATGAGATCTAATGGGCGAGTGGACTGATATTTATTTATTGGCATTCAATGACTCCACTGTATCCTTATAAGGAATGCCAATAAATAAATATCAGTCCACTCGCCCATTAGATCCTTATAAGGATACAGTGGAGTCATTGAATGCCAATAAATAGGGACTTAAAGTGATTTTTGCATCACTTCTCACTCTTTTTTTTATGTAAATAATGAGTCTATGCATTGTTCGAAATCGTTGTATATCAGAGCTCATTTCAAACGAACCGTCATGGCCGCCATTCTACAATAAATAGTGACGTAAATTTTTATGCTGTTAAGTTATTTTTTAGATAATCTCCCATTTCCACTCATCGAGCAAGATTGTCAAGCCACCAATTATAATGAATTTATCAAAAAGAGTCCTGTCGTTGAATAAAACACGTTTATGCCGTGCATAATATGAGGAAGCCATGATATTATAATGCATGCATGCAAATATCTTCTTTACTACAAAACAAAATATCATGTTGCTGTTGAAGACTTGGCAACGATGTGCTGAATGCTGAGAACTGACAAGGCACCGCCCACAAATCGTGCGCCGTCGAGTGCGCCATGTTGTCACGTTTACCCTCAAATGTCCTCTAGTGTGAATTAATATAATGATTCTATTATCAACGCGAATTTATAAGCAATAAGCCACAACAGATGTGGAAATATTTTGAGATAATTGATTTTTTTATGTCTAATTAGGAATGTAACCTATACAAAATCGAGAATTTATGAATAATTGAACAATCGTATTTCAACATATGGCAACTTTGCTATGGTCTGTCCCTACTTATGGAATCGTGAAGACAGTTTCTACTCGCGGTAAATTTTTAGCCGTTTGAAAATATTGGCATTATTGTTGATTTTGGAACCTTGAAATCGAACGAAAAATTCTTGAAAAAATGGAATCGAAAGTTATTTGAGTGATGATTCTATTTAAGAAATGAAAAAGAATTTGTCCACTCGCCTATTCTTCGTATAGAAATGTTTTCTTTCCAAATGGGAAAATCGTATGTTTCATTGAATATATTGAGAAAAAGTGATTTTTGACTCATTTCGAGATTTTACAATAACCATAACATTCCATGAAGTTAATCATTCGTTATTTTCTATAATTTCCTGATCTTAGTTTCACTTGGATTTTATTAGATGATTTCATGAAAAAATATTACAATCAGTTTTAATGCTCAAAATTTCTCTACGGAATGTATAAGAATTTAATATTTTGGGAATCGGAAGAATTGAAAAAAAAAATACGGAAAAATTTAATTGAAAAAAAAACATTTTCACACCCCCTGTATATGGAATGAGAAAGTAGTGTCTGCAGAGCACAATTTGGATAAGAATAGCAATTGTTTTTAGATTTTGTTCTGATGTTTCTGATATATTGGTTAGTTAACGAGAAATCGTGAAATATCTGTATGAAGTGATTTTGAAAATATTCACTTTTCGAGATAGGTCAACTAGCTGCAAAATACGGGGGTGTTGCGGTTTCGAATTGTACACACCAAATCATGCATATATGTGATACCTAATTCAGAATTGGGTACTACACGAAAAGGATAAATTGATTGACACAATAAAATATTTTTTCACAAATCCACGACAAAATATCCCATCCTAACAACAGTTTTGTCATTATCATGAAATCTTCACCAAACAATCGAGTAATTTGTTTAAATGACAAAATTGTTCTTTAGAGTAACATAATGTTGGTCTTAGTAACGAAACTTCTGTTACGGGATCAAGATAGGATTTTTTGTGAATATAGAACAAAATATTTTGTTGATTCGATGAATCATATACAGGGTGTTGATAAATTGTTAATGTTAAGAAGAAAAGTTCATATCAACAAATGCCCTGAACCTCTTAGTTTTTGAGCTACAGGGTGTTGAAATCAGAAGCGTGAAGTTTTTTTTCAAACCAAAACATCCAATATCAGGCCTAGAACAAAATGTGTTTCTACTCATAGTAGGTGTCTACTGAATTTCAACAAACTACCAAGAACAATCTCGATCAGTGCACTGAGGAGATACATTTTTCGATTTTTATTTGTTTACACGAAAACAGAACATTTCCATAAAAGTCAGCCGCATACCATTATTTTCTTCCAAATTTTTTAGTTCAATACGGAACGACGTCACTGGTGGGAATTATAAAGAAGGATGCTCCTCAATGATGAAAGGGTGTGTGCAGAATATCATAAAAATATCTAAGAGTGATAAGAAATTATTACATATATATATTTTTTAATTTCAACACCCTGTAGCTAAAAAACCAAGAGGTTTAGGATATATGTTGATGTGAATTTTCCTCCTTGAAATCACCCAAGGATTCATAGCTTATTGTATTATCGGCACTCAATTAACTAACACCCTGTATTCCTCAGTGTAGATATAACGTCATCTGATATTCTGGGAACAACATTGAACACAAACTCACCTGTCCAGTAAGTTGGTTGAATCTGTGTATTTGAGTTTCTCCATCTGCATCTTCGTTTTGCGGACCAATCGAATTTCCTATCACCAACACAACCCCTTGAGCTGTGTGAAATACGTGTAACTCGTTCACTCCTCTGGTGAGGATTTTTTGTGTTTCAGTTGCATTCATCTGAAATTGACAAAAAGCTTTGGTCTACGGGGTATGATCGAAAAATAAATGTCAACATTGAAGGAATGCACGAAAGAAGGAACGAATGAAAGAACGAAAGAATAAACGAACGAACGAACAGATGGTGGTAGGAAGAGTGGAATGGAGGAAGGAGAGAAGGAAGTGAGGAAGGAAGGAGCTACTTAATGAGTGAGAGAACAGAAAAAAAAGAACAAACGAACTAACGGAAGATCTGATGAATAAACGGAGAAGAAGAAAGTATCGCACAAAGAAAGAAATGCACGAAGGTAGGAAAGGACAGGGGAGACGAATGAACGAATGAACGAATGAACGAATGAACGAATGAACGAATGAACGAATGAACGAATGAACGAATGAACGAATGAACGAATGAACGAATGAACGAATGAACGAATGAACGAATGAACGAATGAACGAATGAACGAATGAACGAATGAACGAATGAACGAATGAACGAATGAACGAATGAACGAATGAACGAATGAACGAATGAACGAATGAACGAATGAACGAATGAACGAATGAACGAATGAACGAATGAACGAATGAACGAATGAACGAATGAACGAATGAACGAATGAACGAATGAACGAATGAACGAATGAACGAATGAACGAATGAACGAATGAACGAATGAACGAATGAACGAATGAACGAATGAACGAATGAACGAATGAACGAATGAACGAATGAACGAATGAACGAATGAACGAATGAACGAATGAACGAATGAACGAATGAACGAATGAACGAATGAACGAATGAACGAATGAACGAATGAACGAATGAACGAATGAACGAATGAACGAATGAACGAATGAACGAATGAACGAATGAACGAATGAACGAATGAACGAATGAACGAATGAACGAATGAACGAATGAACGAATGAACGAATGAACGACCCAAATTACGAACGACTGAACTAGTTAACGAATGAAGGGACGAATGAATGATCGAACGGTGGAATAAACGAACAAATGAATGAACAAATGACCGAATCAACAGATGAACAAAGGAAAAGAAACGAAAGGATGAACAAACAATCGATAGAATAAACAAACAAACGAACGAGAAACGAACGAACGGAGGAATAAACGGATACGTACTCTTTTTTCATCGAACCTTATCACTGTGCAATCCAAATCATTGCTGCCTAGGACGGGATCATAATACCTCCCGACTAAGGCGTAGGTTATATCGTCCAGTGTGAAATATACGACTTTGCTGATGTACCCCGGGAAAAATTTCGGGTATTGATAGAACTGCCCAGTAACGTTGACAGTTGACAATGTGTTCCATGTCATCATTGATACTTCATTCATCAGTTTGGACTTGTCAGTGCTGAAAAATGAAAGTAATCCAGTAATTTCGAAGATAAACGCAGGAAAAGAGCATTGGGCTCTTTCCTTGGATCGAAGTCTCCGAATATTTTTGTGTAAGGGGGAAATCACATGGTAAGATAGGTGTAGTGGCTGTAGGAAGTTCGGGAAAGTTCTAGGAAGTTGAGGAAAGTTCTAGGAAGTTCGAGAGAGTTCGAGAAAGTTAGAGAAAGTTTGAGGAAGTAGGGGCAGTTGGAAGGTTGAGGGAGTTGGAGGAAGTTCGAAGAAGTTCGAGAAAGAATAGGAAGGTCGAGGAAGTCTTGGAAAGTTTGGAGACGTTTGACAGGTTGAGAGTTTGAGGAAGTTTGGGCAGTTTGAGTGAGTTCGGGTAGTTTGGGGAACTGTGTTGCCACAGTTGCCAGTTTGGTGTACAAATTTCTGGGTCATGATTACCGTCTCGTTTCTGTGAGGAATCATCGCAATATTTTCTCATAAACCTAACCTAACCTATCTCACCTGCAGTTGGCGCTGGTACTGACACTGTTAGTGATAAAATGCACGATCATTTTTTCGTCATCGTAGCTGAATATCCTCTGGGATCCTTTATCTGGGAAGGCGGTTATCGAGCGCTCAGGGGATATTTCCAGGGCGTACTGTAGAGGACATTCGCAATATCGAGGCAACCCGCAGTACTCGCCCGAGGGTTCTTTTCCAGTCACGTGGAGGAGGACGTAGCCTTTGGAGGTGACGACGGAGGCGCTGAGTGTGTCGGGGACAGAGATTTGAAGGTCGTCGGATTTTTCCAGGTACATATATTCTTGAGGGAGGCCTGAAAAGTGTCAATGCCAAATTTTTTAAAATTTTCCATGTTGAAGACCGCAGCAGATTTATTCCCGAAACATCCAATTCGATTTATCTATATTTCTCCTCTTCAAACATTTTTCACAACACGATTGAAGAATGCACGAACGCATGAATACACAAATGAATGACTGAACTAGTAACAATTCAGTATTTGGGACCATAGAATAAGGAATGCACGAATCATCAACGATCGAATGAACAAATAAACAAATGAACAAACGATCGAATGACCAAATGACCAAATGAACAAATGAACAAATGACCAAATGACCAAATGACCAAATGAACAAATGAACAAATGAACAAATGAACAAATGAACAAATGAACAAATGAACAAATGAACAAATGAACAAATGAACAAATGAACAAATGAACAAATGAACAAATGAACAAATGAACAAATGAACAAATGAACAAATGAACAAATGAACAAATGAACAAATGAACAAATGAACAAATGAACAAATGAACAAATGAACAAATGAACAAATGAACAAATGAACAAATGAACAAATGAACAAATGAACAAATGAACAAATGAACAAATGAACAAATGAACAAATGAACAAATGAACAAATGAACAAATGAACAAATGAACAAATGAACAAATGAACAAATGAGCAAATGCACAAATGCACAAATGAACAAATGCACAAATGAACAAATGAACAAATGAACAAATGAACAAATGAACAAATGAACAAATGAACAAATGAACAAATGAACAAATGAACAAATGAACAAATGAACAAATGAACAAATGAACAAAGGAACAAATGAACAAATGAACAAGTGAACAAATGGACAAGTGAACACGTGAACGAATGAACAAAAGAACAAGTGAACACGTGAACGAATGAGCAAATGAACAAATGAACAAATGAACAAATGAACAAATGAACAAACGAACAAATGAACAAATGAACAAACGAACAAATCAACAAATGAACGAATTGTCAAATGAACAAATGGACAAACGAACAAATGAACGAATGATCGAATGAACGAATTGATGATTTGAATAAAGAACGAATGCACGAATTAACGAAAGAACGAATACACCAATCAACGAATGAACAAATGAAATAATGCGAAAATAGATAGTTTCAACAGTATCGTCTATAATTATTTTGTTATTCACCTTGGGAAATGGGAATATTCCGACGAATGTTGTCGATGATTCGATCCTTGTAATAATATATTTCCTGACTCTCTGCTTCGGTATCAGTTTTTTCCAAAATTTCTTTTATACTGGATACCCGAATTCCGTTGATTGATTCAGTCTCGATATTTCCGTTAATACGAGAAGGTCGCATAACAACCTGAAAATACAGTGGAATTTTTATGAGGTCAATAGGTATCAAAACCATAACATATGTAATTCTATCCCACCACGATAATAATTTGTCAAATTGACTTCAAAAAGATCACATTTGGAAAGAGAGCTTCTATATTATGTAAAATAATCTCCCTGATTAAGAAAAGTGGGGAAATACAAGGCATCCCATTTGAAAATACATGTCATGCAAAATTAAAAATAATAACAGAACTAAAAAAACTCCATTCATTATCTAGGGGGGAGTTGTTTTTTACTGATCAGCATCGGAATAATTGTGCATTATGTTTAAAAAAATCGGACAACATTTAAAGTTGAATTTTTGGCACCTAAAAGATAACCTAGACATTGATATCAATTTTACTCACAATACTTCCGTTAATATTGGCAGGTTTTCCCAGCAATATACTTTTATTGTACTCTTCTCGTATTGAAATGCCATTGATTAGTTCGACACTGATATCTCCGAAAACATGTACTTTTTCAGAAAACCGTTTCGGGCCAGTGATATTCTGAATGCCTTCATCGAACACGACATCATCGATCTTTATGTCATTTATAGAAGGAGTGGTCAAATCTGTGAAGAGAAAAAATTATAAGACCGCTACTCGATCTCCATCTCACTCAAGCTAAATATACGAGCACGTAAACGGCACGAAAACGTCATGCATGCGTCAGAAGATCGAAAAGCACCGAAAACGTGAAAGAAACGTATAAGAAATGGTCACAAAAATGTTATTGAAATGTTATAAAAACGTCATAAAAACGTAATGGAAACGCCACGAAAGCGTCACTCATGCCTGAACACAATTTTCACGTTTTTTTGACGATTATCGACGTTTCAACGCATACCTACGTGATGCTTTCGTAACGTTTTAATGCAGTGTTTTTCACGTTTTTTCCGGCGCAACTAGGATAACACTCACACAGGGTGTTTCCGAAATTAAGGCGTTATAAAACGTGGGATTCTCTATCCAACACTGCGTCGTTGGGTGATAGAAGACGCTCAAGAGCGGAAGGAAATTGAAGTGAATATTTTTCGAGTGAAAAATACACAATATGTCCAACTGAGTCGGCGCCAAATGGAAAACTTAATGTTTGTTTTATGAAAAAAGTTTTCTGTGATGCAAAATTAATTATTCAGACATCAATTTTTTGCATTTGCATACGAGGTAATCCGAAAAATGTGAATTTTGCTCTGGAGTATATTATCTCGATTTTTCACGATGTGAACAATCTTTATGAGAAAAAGTTGATTCTAATTCAAAACTACGATCAAATATCAAATTTTATATTCATCTACCACGAAAAAACACATTTTTCATTTCAATCTTCTCTGTATAGGCATTGCTAAGTTATGTCAACAAATGGACTTTGAATGAAGAGTGTAATGAAAAAAAAAACAATTGCTAAGTTATGTCAACAAATGGACTTTGAATGGAGAGTGTAATGAAAAAAAAAACAATTATTATATGATTTCCAAAATAAATTTTCTCACACCCAAAAATTATTGAAGATCGTCTTCTCATAGAAATTTGGTAATATTTGATATCCGACCGTAGCTTCCGATTAATAATAATAATGAATTTTTTTCACCAAACATTGCCGATATTGTAAAAAAATTGCAAAATTCTGATTTTTTGACGAATACGAATACAAATACGAATGCAAAACAAATATCGCATTCCCTTTTGCGTTCAGGCCATGCAGACGTTTTGATCAGGAATAACTAGTTTTTCATAATGACAAGTAACAAAGTATTCCGTATGGAACTTTCTTGAATCACTGATCATAAATTAAAAGCCGAACCCATTCGTTCAATTTCGACTTGGTTAGAAGCACCGGAAATAACGATGTCTTTCGGTACGGTCTTGGAGTGTGAATTTTTTAATCGAAAAGGAATATTCTCAGATATATTTATGAACACAAAGAAATGGATATATATATATGAAGGAATACATTGAGAATTCGCATTCTCCATGTGATGAAAATATTAATTCTTTCTCGGTTTATTCAACAGAAAACAACTACTTTTCTGGCTATATGCCACGACGAACATTGAATTACATCCATTGAACACATCCGATAGGTATTTGAAAAAAAACTTCTGAAGGAGAGAATTTGGATTCTCCTTCTTATGAAGATATGCTCATAATATTCAACAGAAAACAACTACTTTCCTGGCTTTTTGCCGTCGAACATTGAATTATATCTGTTGAATATTCAAAAAGAGAGCATAACAAATCAAAATCCACTGAAATTGAGAATTGACATTATCTCTCAAATCGATGTATTATGTATCATGATATAAAAATATAACTTACAAATATGTTCAGTATTGAAATGAAGATTAAAATGTATAGGAGAAAGTATGATGAATATCAATTTGCTGGTCTATGAGCAATAGAGTTTTGGTAGAGAGTTGTTCGATACATTTCAAGACCGACGACAAAAGGGGCAATTTTCAAGAAATAAATCGAAAAATCAGTAAAATCACTATCAAAATTACATTTCCTTCAACACTATCACTACCATACCTTTCACATAGACATCTTCGAAGTAGTAGATACCATTAGCCGATTGGTCGTGATCGGATTTGCATAGAAGCCGATTCGACAGAGTGTTTCTGAAATCGATGTTGTTGACGAAGGATATGTTGAGATCGTTACTGACGTCCAGATAATCGAATATGGCGGAAGGAACCTTCTTTGGATTGTCCAAGTTGACAATGTTTTCGAGGTCGATAGTTTTCGTCTAATGAAATAGAGAGTGTTCTCAAGGTTGGGCCATTGATTTCAACAGCTTGTAGAACTCGTGGAAGGAAATTAATTCACTAGAGATCGATAAAAGTTTCTTCAAATACCGTATCGTGAAATATTATCAATGAATTTACAAATATATGCGGAGAAAAGTATGTTGTTACCTGGCGTTGAGCAGAAAAACTTCAATTCCGAATTTTTGAAATGATTTTTTATTGCTTTATTTGCTGACTTGAAATATTTTTAGTAAATTGACTCCTCTACAAGCTGTTGAAATAAATGGCTCAATTGAAAACCATTTTTTCACTTATTCAAATTCTGAAAATGTTTCCAATTGGAGGAAACCTCAAAAACTTCGAAGATATTGAACAGATTAGTTATTTTTGCGATTCAAGAACCTCAATAGTTTTTGAATTTTTCAAATTTTGTAACATTTAAAAAAAAACAGTTTATATTTGCGGAGTGGATTGATTTTAATGTTCAGAAAAGCGGATATTTTCGAAAAACAAAACTTGCTAAAAAATATATGTAATGGGAGAATATTTTTCATAAATTGAATAAGTAGCCTTGCTGGGTGAATGAAAAATAAAAAAATCAACACTGTTGCCATTGAACGCTTCGAAATTTTAATAAATAACTCACTAATGGAAGCAAGTTGAGGATATTGTATTTTTGCTATGTAGGCGTTTTCTTAGAAGAAATGTGGTGTAGCTATTGATCTATATGTCATTTGCGTGAGTTTAGGATGTTGTATAGTATAGCTATCAGTATATTCGAAAATATCCTTAGCTTTTTTCGATCAGTTTATTTGTTTATAGCATAATCTTGAAAACATGTCAAATTCGACAGGTGCAGCCGATTGACGAAAAAACATTGTCATTTTTCATTTTTCTCTTCAAACCTGTTCATGAGCTGTGAATGTCCAGAAATCACGTGATTCGGACATCAACGGTGACGATGTACAAATTATACAGGGCGACTTTCTTGAACTCAAACTATTCTGCTTTGAAAATTCGAAGTATACAATTTTCATAGCCTTCAAAATATCGGAAGGAGAAGAACGAGTTAAATAACTCACGTTCAATCTGTTAGTTTGTAGACCACCGAAGAAAATCTTCTCTCCTCTGATGACAGTTTCGCCGATTGAATTTTTGTCAACAATATCATCATTAAGAGATTGTATATCTTCACCATTGATTACTTGTATATCGGCATTTTTCATCACAACTGCTTCTTTGGCTTCTAGAGATGCAAACCATTTTCGTCCAGTAATGATCTAAAATAAATGCGGATTACATTTTAGACAAGTCCCGAAAAACTCTAACTAAAGTGCACTTGAGAATTTTGGTATAGAACTTATGGAGGGTTGCAACATTCACCTGTTCGTTTTCAGATTCAGTGAATACAGCATCTTCAATTATGTCCAAGAGATTTATATCATTTACATGCTTGTCTGCGTTTATTTGTTTGGCAGAAACATCACCGATAAATTTCACCTGAAAAAAAAAAAAAAAAGAATCATCTGATGAATTCACGAATTGTCAGAATAAGACCGAGGCAGATTCATTAACACGCGTATATTAGCTTGGTTTGTATGTTCAGAGATCTAAAAGTGATTTTGTTTGGATCCACTCGAAAACATCGGATTGGATTGATATTTCGCACACTTATCAATATCCGATGAAACAAGCATAATTTGATAGTTTTGTTTTATTATCCTATTCAAAGTATCTTCAGGATGAGCAATTTTTTTTTCTTGGATAAAATCAATACTATTCATCCAAACATTAAATTCGCAATGGAAATCGAAACAGAAAAGTCAATCGATTTCTCAGTTTGGATAATAAGTAAAATTAATGATAAACATGATTTTCCAATTTTCCATCAACCTTCTTACTCTGATATCACTATTCATAATAATTCAACACACCCTCATCAACATAAAATTGCAGCATATAATAAATAGTATGATATACAAGCTATAGTGGATGTTTCTCTTCCGGAAGTAAATTTCAATAAAGAACTCAATATCATAAAATAGATTGCAGTCAACAACGGATACAACGTTAATTTGATAGACAGCATTCTTCCTAAAAAACTTCATAATAAAGCTATTCAAGGAGTTTATCCTATGAAAAATATAATAATAAAGACAAAACTTCTGAATTCGAGCTATCAGGGTTATTCAAACTCAACTGTGGATCCGAGCTATCTTTCTCATAGGAGCCAATATGTGTAAATTGACAATGTGCAGTCCAGCTCTGGATTAGTTGATAAAGGTGTACCGCAGGGCTCAATACTCGAACCTCTTCTATTTTAAATATATACCATGGACCTCAATAGGAATTCTGTAAATTGTACAATACATCAGTTGGAGAACATAATTGCATACTCTAATAAGCATGGGATGAAGATTAACCCAAAGAAGACTCAAGCTATATGTTTTGGTAATGTATCAGTGGAGGTAAAATCTGATTTGAGAATTGAAATTGCTACTGTTAGAGTAGTGCCCTGTGATTTAGTGAAAAGTCTAGGAATTCTTATTGATAGTAAGCTGAGATTCAAGGCACAGGTTAAATCTATTGTTAGTAAGTTGAAAAGGAACCACCTCCCTTTACGACGCCACTGGGGGCATTCCATTTGATGCGGTATCCGACAATACAAATTATTTAATCTTGTATAAGGAATATACTTGGTGTTATATTTTAGGTAAGAATATAAGGATGTGTTATAAGGTAAAGATGCATAACTACTTTAGTGTTATATTTTAGCGGTCACGTGTGAACTCAGAGAGTTACAATATACTGAGTGTTGGAATCCGCGGCTTGTTTCTTTTTCGACTTGTAACCCACATCCCAGAGCCAAATAAAGGGTTCTGTCTCAAAGTGATACTCTTCATTGACGAATCTATATCGCAGTAGGTCTTTCATCAATGTACCCTTGAAAAAACAACTATGTGAATCACTAGTATTGAGTCATACTAATTATGCTGATTTAGTATATGGTCCATGCTTGGATGCAGTTTCATCAGCGAGAATTCAAAGAATTCAGAATTCCTGTATCAGATTCATTTACTCACTCAGAACCAGAGACCACATTTCTCATAAACTTAGAGAATTGGGATGGTTTAATATGTTCAATAGGCGTAAATTGCATATTGTCTGCTTGGTTCACAAAGTATTGAATGATAAAAATCCTATTTACATTGATCATCGATTAACATTCACTTCGGAAATTCATAATCGTGTCACTCGAAATACAGGTCTTCTCGTGGTGCCTATGCATAGAACAGCTTTATATGAGAGATGCTTCTTCTATAATGCAGTTAAAATATACAATTCTCTCCCACAAGAGCTCGAGCATAAATCAATGTTTCACTTCAAAAAATATTATTTTTCTTTCGCTAATAAACCGTATTTTAGAATAGATAATAATGTTCTTATATTTAGTAGATAAGTTAGTTTTATATTTAAGCCACTATGTAGGTAGTTATTTAATTCAAATGTAATATGGTACTCGGTTAAGTAGAACAGCTTTGCTGGACTTCGCCGAGGATATCAAAAATAAAGCCCCTGTTATTATTATTATTATTATTATTATTATTATTATTATTATTATTATTATTATCATCATTATTATTATATATCGGTCATAGAGGTCGTACGTTTAATCAGCGCATTCATGAACATGAGATGACTTTTTTGAGAAAGAAAACAAATTCAACATACGCCAACCATATATTAAAAGAAAACCATAGTTTTGATGATAATTTCGAAATTCTACACTGTAGATCAATGATAAATTGGAATGTATAGGTAGGTCGGTATTTATAAATTATTGTTGACTATCGCAATGTTATTAGACCTTCTGGTAGAGCTAACTGTATTAGAACATCAAAGAAAACGGGGCTGTGATCTCATACCTTGGGTCCCAGAGAATAGAGTAAGCGGCTTCACAGGTTGGAGTTGGTTAACTGCCTAGATTACAGCGAAACTTGTCACTTCTCGAGTTGGCCAGCTATCAAGAGAAATCTTTTTGTCTAGTCGAGACGTTTAATCAAGCGAGTCTCAAGCGAATATCTTCGATTCTTTGATCCAAGTCTCCGCGGATAATACATCATTCGAGATATCATTCCTCCTATTGTTGTTCTAAAATTGTTCTATCCGTCATTCGGTTGCCCCCTTACGAGCAACCCTCAGAAGTCTTCGAGAGACATGTGCGAGCAAGGAATGACGGGGGCCTTACCTTTAAACGTGTGATCCCAAACACTATACGAGGTACGCTCCTTATATTTGAAAGAATATGAAACCCAGACAGTCTTGCGATATTTATAAATTTAAAGTGTATGCGAAAAATATAAAGCGTGAAAAGAAAAACAAATTGGATAATAATTAGACAAAAATACAAAAAAAAAACATACAATTGAGGAAGACGGAACATACACGTAGAAAATGAACGAATGAAACTCGATCATTTTCAACCATTAGAAATCAGCAAACTAAAAATTTTTGACATTTTACCCAATGATCAATTAGACCTCAATAGTTTACCACTGTTGAATTTGTTTTTATAGTAGATAATAATATGTATCAACCCCTTCAAGTTCATCCGGTAAGAATTTAGGGGAAATCTCATCGTTTGTGAAGTTTTCACATTTGCCATGGATTCAGATCAAGTACCAGCCGAGTCAATTGAAAAAAAAAAAACTGGAATAAAATGGTGAATGATGTTCCGCCACCAAAAACTCGAAATTTTCCTTCGCCAAAATTTCAAATTTTCGTTTTTTCTCCGAATAACTACAATGCTTTTTGTACAAGGTGTCCCAGAACAGCGTACCGTAAATTCTACAGGGTGAAAATGCATAGTTGAGCCGTGAGACGGCGATGAAGAACAATTTAATTTCCAGATTATCTTTAATATCTCGAAATCGTTGAAAGGTACACTGCTTTGTAATTCGTAGGGCAATATACTATAGTAGATGTGCATGAGAAACATGTAGTACCAATTCAATCAATATACAGGGAGTTCGGTATTTTATATTCTCTTTGATAAAAATTGATCTAACTTTTTTGGATTATGGCCCTGACAACATTTTGATATCTCAAAGAATGACAAAATCAATTATGTCACTTTTTTGTGACTGCAGTTTTTGTATAATTTTCCTCGGTTTTCGAGGTAAATATCAATATTCATTTTAGTGCTTCGCCATACTACTCGTTTATGATATTCTTGTTTTGCTCGATTCTACCTCATTTGTGTTGAGTTATTGCCCACAATAATCATGTTCACCAATTCGCAAGCTCTTCATCATATGATTTGGGAGCTGTTCATTTTCAAATTTTAGTTTAGGATTTCTGGTAGAAAAACTTCGCAAAAAATAAATAAATTTGAAGAACATTATCATATACAGTCAGAAAAAAAAACACTATATATGTTAAATACTGTCTGTGGGTTAATCGAGGAGGTGGTACATTCATTTTACTCGATTCTTTGGGATTTTCTCTCCTAGTTTCAATAAAACAAAAGTATTCGTATTATTTCAATATATTTGAAGAGGGAAAAATTAGATCATTTACCCCAAAATGTCACTGCGTTTAACAAATTTTTCTATCATGGAGTCTAAAAGAAAAATCCAGTTTGGGTGTCCCCTGAAGTGTTAATTGTTTAAGTGAGAATTAACACTGATATTTACACCATCACAGGGTGTCATTCGTTCTTACATACAGTCAAGAACTACACTAGAGTATCTAGTGGTAATTTGATCGTTTCGTGTTATTCAACACCAAAGTGGTGTGCAATACAATCATTCGGTGATTATTTTGACACTGTATCTGTTGCGTTTTTGCTTTTACTAGTGATATTATTATATTCGAATATATTTCTGATATTTTTCTGATGTGGAAATACACTTATATAAAGTGTTATCACGCTGAGAAGCGGTGCTTCCTTGTCTGCATCTGGGTGTTGAATAACACGATTCTGATGAAATAACATTAGTATTCAGTATATGAAATGATCCTTTGTGGTGAGACACTACTAAACATCTCTGAACTGATACTATTTGAAGGCTGTCTAGAGACAAGCGTCGAAGGAGCGCTAGTATCTATCAAGATATTCACTCAATATTTTTCTGTGCGGAAAATGTATTGATATTCAATTTTATGTTTCAATCTGGTTCGATATAAGTACTCTATACATGGTGCCCGTTTTTCGAGCTCCACCATGGGGATCTCAGTTATTATAGGAGATACGAGGTCGGTTGAATAAGGACAAAGTTGTACATTTTCATGCTGAACATTTATCTGCAAAAGAATTCGATGTGTCATTTTCAGTTATTGAAATATTTGAAGAAAACGAAAATTTGTTCTTTTTGTTTTAATTTTTTCAAGCGAAAACCAAAATAGCTAGCCGTTTCTGACTAGGACATTCTCAAGGCACTTTTTCACAAGGAACTTGAATCTTACCTCGTATTTTCCATGGCGTTCTTGATGCCAAAGTTACAACACTCAACTTTGTTTTTCTCATGGGCGCCATATTGGATATTTGCATTTTAGAAAAGTATTTTTTATCCTGATAACAATGATGTATCATACGATATGATCGAATCTTTTCTGTTGATCAAAATTGGGAAAAGAACATTTTTGCGAAGAGTGCTTTGGAAGGAACGCCAACAGTTCTGTTTTGTTTGACAGTTAAATTGAATATGCGAACAGAACTGTTGAATTCTTATGCTTATCCACATAACGCAAGAAGGGTTTCTGAGAGTGTTGCTGGGAGGGTTGCCGAGTATCAGTCAGATATGTTTCCTGACAAGGTAATTTCCAACAACGGAGACATAGGTACGCTGGCCAGCGCGGTCACCTGATCTCTATCCGCTGGATTATTATTCAGTAGGAACTATGAAAGATTTGATTTTCAAAACTGAACCGATCGATATTGATAAGACCTAGACGTTTCTGACTAGGACATTCTTAGAGCACTCTTGACAAGAAATCTGATTCTGTCATCGTAGTTTCCGTGACGTTCTTGATGCCAAAGTTACAACACTGAACTTTTTATTCTATAGGCGCCATATTGGATATTTGCATTCTTGAAAAGTCTTTTTTTTTTTGATTACAATGATCTATCACACCATATGATCGAATCTTGTTGTTCAAAATTGGAAATAAACCATTTTTGCGAAGAGTGCTCTGGAAGGAACGCCCACAGTTTTGTTTAACAAACTGAATTTCGACAGTTCAATTGAATATGCGAACAGAGCTGTCGAATTCTCAAGCTTATCCACATAATGCAAGAAGGGATGTCGAGTGTCTGTCAGATATGTTCCCTGACAAGGTAATTTCTAACAACGGAGACATACATTGGCCAGCGCGATCAACTGATCTCTCTCCGCTGGATAATTATTCATTGGGAACAATGAAAGATTTGATTTTCAAAACTCTACCGTTCGATATTGATCAGCTGAGAAGAACCACAATCACCACTTTCAGGACTAAGATAAGAAGATGGGACATCTCGCAAGCAATTCAGAATCTGAAGAAACGCGTAGAATTGTGTTCAGAAATGGAATGTGGAGTATTCGAGCATCTTTCATAACTTTGTTTAGTTTTGCGAATAATGAACTTCTAGCTCATTACGTCGTTCCTTACTCAAAACCATAGTTTTTGAATAGATAAGCTTGACGAAAATGTAAACGTCCAAGATCCAAATTCAAATAAACTGTCGAAATTCAGCTTGTTAAACAATACTATTGGCGTTCTTTCCGAAGCACTCTTCACGAAAATGTTTGTTTCCCAATTCTGATCAACAGGAAGGATTCGATCATATTGTGTGATACATCATTGTAATCAGAAAAAAAGAACTCTTCAAAATTCCAAGTATCCAATATGGCGCCCATGCGAAAAAACGGAGTTGTAGCTTTGGCATCAAGAACGTATGGAAAATACAATGACATATTCAGATACCTTGTGAATAAGTGCCTTGAGAATAACCCAGTCAGAAACGTCTCGGTCGTTTGGTTTCCGCTTGAAACAATAAAAACGAGAATTAAAAATTTTCCATTTTTTCCAATAATTCGAAAAATGAAAATGACACATTGAATTTTCTTGCAGATAAATGTTCAGCATAAAAATGCGCAACTTTGCCTCAGTTTAACCATAGATCAACCGAGCTCGTATCTCTTATAATAACGGAGATCCCCATGGTGTAGCTCGAAAAACTGACACCCTGATAACTAATTGCAATGAATTTATCACGGTATATGTCGTCACGCGTTGTTCCGAGTTCTTCAAATAACGAAATATCGTGGATTTTAATGATCATTAAAAAAAGTACAGAGCTCTGAGGAGAAAACGATTTGCGACAGAGTGCAAGTTTGGGGAACAGCTGTTTGATAAAAAACCAGTCAAAATTCTTACACTGGAAGTAGATGAGTATTTCATTCTTTCAACATATTATGAAAATGGCGTCATATCCAGGTCATGAGGTTTCAATTGAATGTAGACCACTCACTTGTGCATCTATGATGTTGTTGGTGCTCATTCTCACAGCTTTTTCGAAGATCCTGAACAAGACATTCTGGTCGTCCAGAAGTGTCACATTTCCCCTTATCTTGACACTCGACCACTCTTTCGGAGATGGATCATGCAATTCCTCAGCTATCGATTTGATATGGCAGGGAGTCATCTTGTCTGCTATCAAAGTTCTCATGGATATTTCCGATCTGAAAGCCACCCCACCGGGCACAGTGATTTCTTGTGGTCGCTTCGTAGAAACGTCGATTAGGTTCGTGACTGTTTTGTCATTTATTCTTGGAGTGATCAGGTTACCTGGAACAGTCACAAAATGTAGGTCTCAATGTGATCATTCTTGATCGGATAAGTAAATAGTGTCTGTGATGAGATTGCTATGGTTAGTACCTCTTGTCTGAAGCTTATTCCTACTAGTGTGCCGATGTATTGTGGCGGGATGTTATGGAGACTCCTCTCATTTTCGAAGGAAGGAAGCTCTGTATATTCACTGAAGTATGAGTGATTGGGTTACAATCATTCAAAACTTCCACATAATCATTCGTCAATTTGCCAATACTGAAGATGACGTTTTCGAAGTGATAACTTCTATAGGCCCGTTAGGCACTTGCTGGGATGGCAGTAGGACGGCAACCTCGTATCACGGTCACCGTGCCTAGGGTTGCCAGTTCCACTTAATTTTCAGTAGATCTACCGATCTGGTGGGGGTTCTTGCGCCTTTATCGGGTCAACGCGTGAAGACGAAGGAAGGAATCCAAAAGAAGAAACGAATCCGATGAAGAAGTAAGGAAACCAAAGAATAAGGAGGGAATCCAAAAGAAATGAATTCAAAGAAATTGGGAAACCAAAGAAGGAAGTAACCCAAAGAAGAAATTGAAGCAAACGAGTGAGGAATCCAAGGAATAAGTAAGGATACCGAAGAAGAGAGACACTCAAAGAAGTAGGGAAACCGAAGAAGAAAGGAATCCAAAGAAGGAAAAAATCTAAAAAAGGAAGGAATCTAAAGAAGAAAAGAATTCGAAGAAGTAAAGAAACCAAGAAGGAAGGAATCCTAAGAGGTCAGGAAACCAATGAAGGAAGGCATTAGAGGGATCAGGGAAACCAAAGAAGGAACGAAAACAAAGAAGTAAGGAAACCAAAGAAGGAAGGAATCCAAAGGAGTAAGGAAACCGAAGAAGGAAGAAATCCATTGAAGTACGGAAATCATAGAAACAAGGCATTCAAAGAAGTAGGAAAATCGAGGAAGGAAGCAATCTAAAGAACGAAGGAATTAAAAGAAGTGAGGAAACCAAAGAAGTGAGGAAACCAAAGAAGGACGGAATCCAAAGAAGTAAGGAAACCAAAGAAGGTATGAATTCAATAAAGAGAGGAATCCAAAGGAGTGAGGAATTCAAAAGAAGGAACGAATCTGAAGAAGTAAGAAAACAAAGAATAAGGAAGGAATCCAGGAAAGGAAGGAATTGAAAGAAGTAGGGAAACCAAAGAATGAAGGACTCCAAAGAAGGGAGGAACCCAAAGAAGTAAGGAAACCAAAGAAAGAAGGAATCCAAGGAAGTAAGGAAACCAAAGAACGGAAACATTCAGAGACGTAGGAAAACCAAAGGAGGAAGGTATCCAAAAGAGGGAACGAATCCAAAGAGGTAAGGAAACCAGAGAACGCGGAAGGAATCCAAAAGAAGGAAGAAATTCAAAGAAGTAGGGAAACCAAATGAAGAAGGACTCCAAAGAAGGAAGGAACCCAAAGAAGTAAGGAAACCAAAGAAGAAATGAATCCAAGAAATTGAGGAAACCAAAGAAGGAAGACATTCCGAGAAGTAGGGAAACCAAAGAAGGAAGGAATCCAAAGAAGGAAGGTATCGAAAGAAGAAAGTAATCCGAAGAAGTAAGGCAACCAAAGAAGGAAGGAATCCAGAGAGGTCAGAAAATCAAAGAAGGAAGGCAATCAAAGATTTATGGAAACTAAAGAAGAAAGAAATCCAAAGAAGTAGGGAAACCAAAGAAGGAAGGAATCTATGGAAGTAGAGAAGCAAAAGAAGGAAGCAATCCAAAGGTGTAAAGAGACCAAATAAGGAAGGAATGCAAAAAAGTAAGGTGTCCAAAGGAGTAACTAAACCAAAGAAGGCAGGAATCCAAAGAAGGGAGGAATTGAAAGAGCAGGAATCTTATCTTTTGGGATAAAGGTAGAAACTAGCGTCGCAGTCAACGTATACCATCGATAACCCCAAAAAACCGCTGTTAGGAGTTATCACTTCCGAGTGGTCTTAGCACACTAGATGTCTCACAAAACCTCTTGTTCTGACTTCAATCTTGATGCATAATTTAATGATCAGACTGATAGAAAAGGTTCAGACTAGAGTTAATGACCATATTAATTTCATGAAAGATCTATATACACTCATAGAAGTTGTTACTGATCTGAATAATTTACAATTCAATGAAATCCTACCAGCTTTGATATTTTCAAAACTATAGGGAGCGGTTATTGTTTGGTTGAGGTTCCTCAGTAGAAGTCGTCTTGTGAGGCTCCTCATGTTCTGGTTATTGACGAACAATGTGACCAAGTTACCAACTTTCACTTTTCCAGAAAATCGTACGTCACTTTCGATGACCCCGTGTTCCCCTATTGTAGGCGCCTGCAAAACATTTTGTTTCCAATATCATCTTACTTTGAAGTTAAGAAGAACTCAATACCTATATACGTTTTCTATTTTGTAAGATCAAATTTCACTTCAGAAAAAAAGTAAATTAAAGAGGATCTTGGCTCCTTCACTTCATATGACGTACTTTCTGAAAAGCCACATTCACACAGAGCTAAAATACGATTTCCTCTGCCAGTACAACGTTGCCGACATCATCAATATGTCTAGGTTTCCGGAAATTGCTCTTTGAATACATTATACCTACATCATAATAGCAATGGGATATAATAGGTTTTTAATCTTACTTCGTCGAGTATTATGAATAATTTCCATAAATCTCTCATTTGCTCAGGTAATTACTGATGAAGGTAAATTATGATAATTTGCAATAGTATCTGAATTTTAACTTTCGTTATCTTACAAAATGATATCCATAACTTGTCAGCCATTGTTTGGCGAATGAATTCGTTCCTTTATGAAATGGGTCTATTTTTTAGGAGAGTAGTTAATTATATATTGCAACAACGCATAATACTTTGATACAGTTTATAGTTGTTCTTTCTTTTCATGATATAATCAACAAATATGCCAAGTTGTCTTCATCTCTTTTATTTTATTTATTTATTTGCCAGCTATATTCAGACTAGATTCAGAATTTTGAAAATAAGACCGACTTGGACTTTATCGATCGCCATTCTGTTAGCGTAGACATGGAACTGAGGAGTTCCGAACTCATTTGATGAAAATTCATCTGAAAGAACTTCCTCGTTATCGTCGTTGTAGAAGTCAGATGAATGATATCTGAACTGACGGGCTTCATTGAAAAGTATTCCACTAAATTACAATAATTTGAAACACTTCTTTCCAAGAAATAACCCACACCAATGAAAAAGCAACGGAAATTAGACTAACCTAATACACAAAACCGCGAATTAGACAATATGGTACGAAGCCTTGGATAAGGGACACCTGAAATAAAATAATGAAGACTTCGAAATTTCGATTATTAACTCGGTATTTTGAAGTTTCGACTTATATCTCGGAGTTTCACATTCAAAATCCCGAGTTATAACTCGATTTTTTAAATTCTGAGTTATTTTGAAATTCCATGTTGTAACACTGGATTTTACATCCACCATTTCGAGTTTCAACTCGGAATATAGTGTGTAATTTCGACTTAAATATAACTCGGAATTTTATACCGAGTCATAGCTCGGAATTTTGAAAATTCGACTTATATCTCGGAAGTATGAAGTTCAACTTTTTGAATGTAAAATTCCGAGATATAAGTCGGACTATTGAAGTGTATTTTCTTTTAGGTGTCCCTTCCACGGCTTCGTAGGATCGACTCTTTTCCACTGTTTAATGTCAATACTAGTCTCATGAGGGTGCTTGGACGTTGCCAAGTCGCAAATTTTGATTCTATTCTGGATACTTTTGAGTGAGAGCGATGTTGTCAAACTTTTCCAAATACTGTAGATTCCTGACAAATATCTACTTGATATCAGAAAATAAAACAGTTGAGAAAACGAGTATCAGCTATATCTCTGTGTATTTATATCGAGCGATAGATAATCCTTTCTGGCAATTAAGGAATGAAACGATTACGTTAAACACCACATTCGCCGTGGCTCTCATTTCCAACCATGAAAATTTGGGAATCTGGAAATGAACTTTCTGCGACATACCGTAAAATGCTTCGGACTACCCAGCTTTTTCACTTACTTTATTCAATATATCTTCCACAGGAATATCGTTTATTCTCGAAACGTTGAAGATATTTTGTATTGTTATATTGCCATTCACAACTAAACTCTCCAATTTATTTAAAGATTGTAATTTGTTCATAGTATCCAAATAATCTTCTATTTGATGCCCATTCAGCTTCTGAACATGTAAATTGGTTACTGAAATTCAAAACGTCATCAAAAATGTGAAAATTCACTCTATCAAGAGTTGAATATGACAATATATTTGAAAAATTTGTCCTCATATACTGAGTGTTTCCGAATTCAGGACGATCAACAAAATGGATGATAGGGGGCAAAAAACAGAACGGAATGAAATAATACATTTTTGTCAAAAGAAATATACTTTGGAAGATATTTTGCTTCAAAGTTAGACTAATATTTTTGTGAATAACTGATCAGAAGTTGATTGTATAACCCAATATTTGTTTAGTTAGTTGGTTAGTTGATAGTTGAAAGATTTGGTATGGTGGAAGCGCACATGAAAAAATCAAAACAATTTTTCATTGTGAATTATGGTGTCATTAGGTCTCACCTCACACCTCATTTTATTCATCGCCCCAATTTCGGAAACACCCTGTATAATTTGGTATCATTTTTGTTGACAACCAACATTCCAACTTCAATATGCACAACAATTCCAACTTCAAGATGCACATGTAATATGGCCTAACTATCTTAATATTAAGTTGTTCGGAAGTCTTACCATTGAGATGTTCGAAATCCATCTTATTCAAATGTTGCTCCTGATCAATATAAATGATCTCATTCTTGAAATCATCAACGTTGACATTGTTAAGAATATCGACATGATCAATTTTGGAATTAACATTTCCTTCCACAATAACATTCTTGAATGTTTTGGTCCCTTGAATCGAAAAATGAGAAAGAGTTGAAAAATCATCGATGATATCAAATGGAACATACAGGGGGAGCGGAAAGTTTGAAATTACTCATTCTACCAGAGATGTTGCTGATGAATTTACATAAAAGTCCTGTTAACATCAACTGATGTAGATTTCTAAGGAAACGCCATATATAAATCATTCCATATTCGTTTACGGGTTATCATTACGATATCAACGATAATACCTGGTTTGATGATGGTATATGCCAATAAAGTGAGAACCTTATGGCGAAAAAATCGTGCACATGTTATTATCAATGAGTGTAACAGAGAAGATATACTTTTACATATCGACGATATACCTATATCTCTGTCACACACTCAGTTGTGCACCTATTCTGCTTTAAGAACTAGAAATAGAATCCGTCCCTGATTCAACCATAATAATAATTTATTTTTTATGAATTCTCAATCCGATGGTGCCATACTACCCAGCGAGCACTAACATCCCTGGGATGTTTTGGGATGTTTTGAAAATGTTGGCGTAAGGATGTTTTTTTTTGAGACGTATATACCTACACTTCCAAAAGAGGTCTTCAAAGGATTGGAAGTATTGTTTTTGTTCCTCTGTGGAATTTCTTTGTGGTATTAGAGAGATAAAAATAATGTTAACATGTGGATGTAATTTCTAGACATAGCATAGCCTGCCTTGAAAGGTTAATTCTAGATATTCAATATATACATTTATAATTTCCATCAGTTTTCATAATGGTTCTCGAAATTTGTTTCAATAACTCCACCATTTTAAACACAATTAAACTCAATGCCTATCATGATGTGAATTATAAATCTCAACATTTATTTCATATTCTTCGGTCTCCTCACATCAACTACTTATATACAGTGAGCGGCAATATTATGGAACAAATTCATCTAAAAGTCAGGCCTGTGTTTCTTGGGAAAACGCTCGGACATGTCGATTTTTATTTTTTCCTACGGTTTTGATGGTAGTAGATTTATTCATACAGGGTGGCTCAAAATTAATTTACGATGATTAACTTCGTTTTTTTTAATAGAAACACTTATTTTCCATTTGATTTTTGAATTCAGCGTAAAATTCTAAGTATGTTCCATGTATCGCATCATTGAAATTGAACAAGAAAAAATGGTTTGAAAAATGAAAATGATGGTCGTAACTCTTTTTTGGGTCACAAATAGGTCGATTTTTGATTTTAAATGGCGATTTATTGATTAATTGTGCAAAAATGATGACGTCACCAGTTTTGCACAATTAATAAAAAATGTTTTTGTGCTCGCTGGGTATATATATATAGATATTTTAGAAAGTATTCGTACTCTGTGAAATTTTCAATAATTTCAATGATTTTTTGTAAAATGAGTATACATTTTTTTCTCGATATTAAATAATCTAGATATCTGCTAGCCGAAACACTTTGCATACAAGCGCGCAATCTCCCTGAGCTAACGATACATCCAGATCGATCTAGCATCCAACCCAACCTTTTGCTATCAATTCACCCTCTAACCTACCCTATATTGCTGTAGGATGGCCATTTCAGTGTTAGAGTAGACAAAATGGCTACCGCTGGCAGGTGACAGATGAAAGTTGACATATGATAGGTGGTAGGTGATACTTTTAGAGGGAAAAACTAGGACCTACTCATCGCCGAAGTTTTAGTGGATACTCTATCTAAGTATATGAAATAGATCGTGAGGTGCAATTCCTTTTTTATTTTGAACAGCATGTATTGTTCGTATGAAACAGAAAATCTCGAATTTGTGATGGATGATACTTTTAGCTGATCCTGTATACAATGACATAGAAGTCGCTCTCTGTGAGAGGAATGTTGATTGAAAATAATGTACCTGTAACGTTACTTGGCCATCTTGTGTTTAGGACATCTAATGTATTTATTCCTTCCAACTTCGATGTAACTAGATTTTCTGCCCTTAGAGTGTCTACATATGTTTTCTGTCCATTTATCATGAAACTGAAATACAAACATACAGATAAAGCCCAATTTAGTATATTTTTCAAGTATTGGAATGGCCCATATTTGACAATCTTATATACAATTCTCTACTAAATGTTCAATGTCAATAGATCATTCACGTATAATGAGAGCAGAATCGGGCCCATTACTGATCCTAGCGGCACTCCCGACTCTATATCAGTGTTTCTCGAAATTTAGTCTCTTACTCACCTTCCCTTGGTTTTGACAGCTTCTTTAACCAGTTTATCCAGATCTGGTTGGTGCACTGCATTGTTGTGCAATAACACATTTCCGTTAACAATAACTTTATCGAAATGGTAATCAGTTTCCAGTGTGTCTGTGTCGGAGTTGATCATGTACTGGGAAAACTTGACACCATTCAGAACGTTCGTTAAGACGTGAGGGACGTTCAATCCTTGGACTGTGACATGGGTTGGAATTTCCTAGAAAGAAAACTCAATGGAGGTTTATTTCAGGAACAGGGTGTTTCAGAGGGTGAGAGATATTTTATAACATAATGTAGAACTAACCAAAATAACCATTCAGAATAGGGATTTCTGTACAAAATACAAAATCTACCCATAACAAACTGTCAAATGCCATATTGAGTGACAACGAAATGATTCGCCAGGGTGCCATTCCGTTGTTTTCTATAATAGACTCTTGACATTTGGATCGAAGATATAATTTCTTAAAGGCCTAGAGCCCATATTCTCCATGAAATAATAATTCCCTCTTCGATGACAGATCACAAGTGGACATTTGTTTTGAATATGGGACACTCTGGGACTTCATCGATTGAATTCACGTCAAGAAACCTGATGAAATAGCGGATAAACGAAGCACTTTGATAACTTTTAGATGAAACATACGAAAATTTCAATTCATCGACAGTCATTCTTCTAGTGTTTCTTCCAAATGACATTCATTCTTTCGAATTTTCTAATGGAAGATTCATCACCTACTTCGCAATCAGCAGAAATACGTCTCATGTGGACGTTTTTAAAACGTCCACTCCAGACATTCAGGACGTTTTAAGGACGTCCATTGTTGATAATCAGGATGTTTCATGAACGTCCATTTCAGGTCCAGATAAGGGTAAAAATGGACGTATTGAGGACATTCAGGTTACATATTCCATCAGCTGCACCACTAAATATGTCACGTGAATCATCCAGTGACGCGGGAGCGATGATGTCTCTTTCTGATTGGTAGCCTTCTGTTAACACAAAACATCTCGATAGAAGTCGTGATCGAAGATTTCAACAATTGATAGATGATATCCGCAAAGGTTTCACCTCACTATTTTTTCAGTCAAAGAACTCGAAAAGCTCAGAATGTCCTTGGACCTGAATCACAGTACATTCGTCAGTGGTCAACTCGCGCCATCTTCCCAATTCGGCCATTTCCCATCATCATACGTTTGTTTTTCACGTAACACGCATGCGTTCTACGGTTGCTTTACATGATTCAGCAAACCAATCAAATCTTATTATAAAAGTGCGGCTTGTATGAATACTTCAGTGTGGGTTTGAGAATGGTCATAGTGTAAAGGTATTATGTGATTCAAGTGATATAACTCGAAATAACTATATAAGTAGGTACAAATCAGTCGAAATCATCAATATTTCAAATTCATGATGATAAAATGAAATTCAATATATTGATATAGCCGACATATGAGATGAATACCTACTGGATTCGAGTGCCATTCCTGCGAATCTCGCATAAGAACAGTGAATTGGGGTTGATTTTAACAGGGGTGGCTATGTCATTATCGCCTAGTGGGTTCATAATATGACGAAAACTACCTTGGTAGTGAGAACACACTATACGCCTTGAAAAAGAGTAAATAATGGTGGGTTCTTTTATAGCTAGTGGTAGGAAATAGTTATTTATACACCAAGGAATTGAAGAAAATCATCATTACACAGGGACTAAGATTATATCCTGTGGCTTTAGCCGAAGGGTATAAGGTCCCGTTTATTAATTTTTTTTTCACCACTATAGCAATATATTGCATTATAGTTCTGTGAAACTGAAATGTCACTATGAAAGCACTTGTTTTCCATTCTAATTGAAATCTAGTCACCTTGACAACATATGACAAGTCGTTATTGATAAATACCTACTAGAATCATGTGCCATTCCTGTTAATATCTCATTATCGCATCAGAACAGTTAATACAGGTTGATTATAACAGAGGTGGCTATGTCTTTATTGACTAGTGGTTCATATTATGACAAAAACTACTTTGGTAGTAAAAACACACTTAACGCCTTCAAAAGGAGTGAATAATCTTAGGTTCTACTTATAGCTACTGGTGGAAAAACGTATTTACCTGATTAGTGCTTTTCGACCAATAAATATTCTGAATATCAGGTTCTACTTCATTTCCGGAAAGATAAAGCTTAGCATTAGGCTGTAAAGTGAGGTTTCTCAAATACAGATTCCCTTTTATTCTGACGGTTCCCTCGTACTGCTGGAGTAAGTCTGATTCGTTTGTTCCCAAGATGCGATTACCATCCTTCAGGATTAAGAAGTCATCCACCTTCCCGGATATTTCCAAGTCATTTTCTACATTCAACTTATCGATAGTAATCGGTCCTGGAATAGTATTTTATGCATGTAGCGTTCATGTAATGATAGCTATTAATACATTAGCACGAGGTAAGTTACGTAAACCATGAGCGAGTGTATTCATAGCCATCACATGATAGTTGCATAAACTTTTTTCTACGACCAATAAATAATAAACTCAAAACATAAACTAATTTTTTACTATTTAAATATCAATATATTCCAATATCTCCAGCTGATAAATTGCCTGTACTTGTATGTATGACAGGTTGTGATTGAATATCAATTCAAATTGAATGTAAAAAAAATCAAACAAGTAATTTAGAAACTAACTTGATTTCTTGATTGTACGTATTACATGCTTACCAATACTGTCGTTTTTTCCAAACCATACTGCTGATTCGGATAATTTGATACCATTCACAGATTGTGCACTGATATTTCCTGCGAATATCCTATTGAAGATAATATCTGAATGTATCGTTTGGTCGGTAGATTTGGTAAGAAAATCTTCCACAGCCTCTTCATTCAGTTTTTCGACATTCAAATGTTCAGTTTTGATTTTGGAGAAATGCAATGGACCTAAAAATCGAAAAATTCTGATGTTGTCAACCATTATCTTTCTCACAACTCACAAACTATGAAGCGAATTAAAAATAATGCATAACAGCTTCAATTGGGCTGATAGAAGCCTGATATACACTTCGAGAAACTTGAAGTGATTGTACTGACGTCAGTAGATAAGCTATGGGAGATGTGGACCAAAATCCGTTGTATTTTCTTATGAAAGTACAATCTGCCGAAATTGAACATTCGATAGACGATTATATAAACAGAATATAAGCCTCATTTGATGAATAATCAACCCACAAGTTACTGACATTCAACTGGGGAAGATATTCTTCCTTCTATCGACCCTAAGGGTCTTTGCTCACGACATCAAATATATGAATCATTCTTGCCTAAATGAGTCCACAATTGTTCTCAGTACTATCAAGTTAGCAGCAATAACAATTCTTTAGAACATCTCGACCTTGTAGTTAGCATCTGCTGAAATGGAATATCATACCTGCTGACGCTGGCATCAGCATCATTTTTGATAAAAATTAAGTCAATTCTATATCAAAATAGGGCCCAATTGATCTCTGCCTGAATGTGCAAAATTGTTTAAAAAAAATTCCATTAGTGAAACGCGAGATAACATAAACAACACTAATTCAAACATAACACCAGTTGACTTACTGATGAACACGTTGCACCTATATCCGTGAGGTCAGTGTTTTCCTCCGTTTGTCATCACGCATAAAGCTGACCTAGTGATCTATCAATTTGTCCCACATTTGCTTCCCCTTCAACACATACATATACCACTTTGTCTACAAACCCATAGTTTCTGCAATTCCGACCAGATTGATCCTTTATGAAAAAACACATAGTATTTTTGGATGTATGATAAATTGACATTCATCATACAGGACGTGGAAAGAAATATTCTGAATTGAGATAACATCAACACGAATCTGCGATTGAGGTCTATAAAAATAATTTAATAATATTTTGATCCAGAACTCCCATAGCTCATCTACTGACGTCATGACGTCACAAGTCAGCCAGAACCGTGGGCCCTATGATAGGTGCACACCTGAAGTAGGATCTGACATGAGGTTACCAGAAAGATGATTATAATAATTCACCATTTATTCACCATGAAGTTTAGATATGAAAGCGGCGAATTAATAAGTAACAGATAAATTAATGGACTTCTCGATACCAACTGTTCATCGAAAGACTGAAGGAAGTACTTGATGTTAATCGAGTACAAGTTGAAATTATTCAACTTTTAACCATACTCACATTACAAGGAGCGGAACAACTCGAAGTATTATCGAATTGAAAAATGCCTGAAAGATACATATATTTCAGTGACTTTCATTCCGAAGCAATATCTATCAAAGGGGGTTCAGCAAGAAAATGGAATAAAACGCTGAAGTTGAATGCCACGGCTCTTATCAAAAGTTTGGAGCATGAAAAGCAACAGAAATATTGTTTTGTGATCACAAGAAATTTCAGTTACCAAAAGAAAATTCGAGAACCTTCGCATTTCTCTCCAGCATTGTGGGATCACAAGAACAAACGCTGACTGGAATGACGTTACGCTGGCTTTTTTATGTTTCGGTTCCCACGAAAAGGGATATCCTGTAATGTTCAGAGAACATCGTGAGAACCTAGGGAAATAAGGTAGGAACTGGCATTTTTCTCAAATTTCTGGAGGTTATATGCCTCGGGGAATACCTCCCTTGGCAATGTGTTCCAGAGCCTCGGTGTTCGTTGGATGAACGAGTCTTTGGAAAGAGATGTTCTGCAGGTCTCCAAAGTGACCACGAAGGGGTGCGAAGCCTCAACTCGACGGGTTAATCTCGCGGGGACTGCCAAAGGAGAACAAATTGTTAATATTTCAGAAGAGCATCGTCCATGAAAATATCTATAAAATAGAGCAAGATCACTTTGATCAGGTGACTTACGTGGGACTGTGACGTCATGCCACTAGTCTCCTCAGCAGGTAACGTTTCTCTAGTAGAAATGTACAATACATATTTTTTCTTTCATCACTGTTGATAGTTCGTTCAACGTTTTGGTAAACAAACCTGTCAATGTAGAGTCAGTCCCAATTCTGAATACCGAATCTTTGAATTCATTCCAGTTGATATCATTGATAGTTTTCACCTGTAGGTTGTTGATCGTGACGTTGGAATCAAAGTTGAGATCAGTCAATTTATTTTTAGACAAAATTGATAGGATTTCATCAGGCTGCTCCTGAAAAGTTCAAAAGAAAGTGGAACAATCATATGCTCATTTGATATATAAGGTGATTGAAATAACTGATAATCTAGCTATCCGAAGTGCCGCATCTCTCCATGTGATGAATAGAGATGTATAGAAATTCAACTGGCGCGCTTGCTCCCTTTTGAAGGTCGTTTGCAAGTTTCTCGATGGCGCCTAAAGTCGTGGAAATACACCAAGTCACAAAACAAAAGCCTATACAATTTCTGGTTACCATTCGTATGTGTATTCTTAAGTATTCCAGATTTTGACAATCATGATAATCATGGTAACGAATATGGCAGTTCATCGAAGTCCACGAGAACGGATATAGGAGTGTATGTGCATACCATTACAAGTTCCCATGTTTTTTTTCTCATAGATTCGTAATATATATTTACCTAAAAAAACGAATAACTATAGTTGAACACTGAACAGTATTGTCGCGGAAAATCAGTTCGGAAAACCTGAGGAGATGTTTTCAATACCTACCCGAAATAAATGTTGAAAATACGAAATTCGAATATGAGATCTCTTGCACCATGAACAAATAAGGATCACTCTTGATATTTCAATACCTACCTTCTCTCCCTTTCCACCCCAGGGATGGACGATGTTCTACGAACATAAAATAGTGATTCTCTCTCGTTCGTCTTGAGCGATAATAAAAAATAAAAATATTAGCTGCAATCCAAAATATGACTTCAAACTTATCGGGTTTTGGAATAAATGAACTATGAGATTTCTCAAGCTGTTCAACATCATCTGTTTTTCGCAAATATATTTACAAGCGATTGATGCTTTGGCAAAAAAAAATATCAAAAAAATGTATTAGTTTTCTCCCCTCATTTCTAAAAAAAATATAGAGATATAAAAGTATCTGTGGATGACTGGGCGTGGAGATTTTTCTTTGCCCCGAAGTGTTTAAAAATGTATTTTCAGACCTGAAAGAATTTTTTCAGCTGATAGTCAGTCACACTTCGTGAAATAAGATGTTGAAAGGTATTTGAGGAAGACATTATAAAGAAAATATGTGAAGATGTATTACTCTCCATATCAACTAGAGGTTTCGGAAAACACTGTATCCATTATCAACATGAAATTCTTTCCAACAAATGTTTTGTCTTTGGCTTTCTGCAAGAAAGTAAGTAAGTAAGTAGTATAACTCACATGAATTATATTTCGAATAATAATTCCTTGTCAACATCAACTTATTTTAATATGAATTATTCAGGAAGTAACATTTTTCAAAAACAAATATTTTCATTTGAACTCATTGACCCTTTCTCCGATGACGTATCCCTCTCATCTGAATTGAAAGTTATCACGACAGGTTCAATATTGGAAGCACATATGTATTTCTTCGTCTCCCATGCCAAAAATATCACTTTTTCTGTAAGTATGTCGTACATAATTTCTCCAATGCTCCACACCCACAGCTTCTAACGCCTTTGACCAGACCAATTGCCAGACCATTATCACATCTCCCTGGGATGATTTAGTTTTGATGATTTCGGCGTCATAAATCCTTTTAGCATCTGACCACACCATTTCTATGGCATTATATTGGCAATGGTGAGGTGGTGATCTCAAAATATTGTGACCGCATGTTCTGATGCGTAAATATCTAAATGATATTTTTTTTTTGAAATGACGTACGCTTGCCTGCAATTGATGGTTGTTCTACAAGAACCTGCCTATTGTTGCTCCTCTTGAATTTGAATCCAATTTTGCGAATCCAGGTATTCACCGATCTTGGTGAACAAGGAAAATCAGGCCATTCTTCAGTGAAACGCTTATGGAGCGATTTTATTGTAACATGTACTTTTCCAACATACATCTCATGAACAATATCTCTAAGAGCCTGTAACGTTGTGGGATTTACCTTTTTTTATTTCTTCGGCCTTTTTCGAAACTGTTTCTGCATAAACAGCATCAGAGTTTGTTTGCGAATTCTTGATCCGATAAATGCTCCTTTCTGAAATATTCAAAGCTTCCGCGGCAATGCTGACAACATACAAAATACGCGATCACACTCAGAATCAATGTTTCAGATTGATCCATTGAATCGTTTCACCATTATGATATACGGAATTCGAAATATTATTGATGTATAACCAGTACTCTAATTGTTTGACATTAAGTCACAGTGACAATTCAATGATCAAAATATTATATGAATAAAGTTCCGACGTTCCTTTTTCTAGTGATTTTCTGTCTCATTCAGCTTGTGGTGAATAAAAAGAAACAGATTTTGCCTTGGTGTATTTCCACGACTATACTCTGATAAACCTTCGATAAACATACTTGACGTGGGTAAATCTCGCTAAGCTCATCCTGGTTACAATCCATATTTACAGGAAACATATTACCGACCGATAAATATTTGGATACGTATATGATTTTGATCAGAGCAGTGAACTGATTCCTCATCGAAGGATCGAATCGTCAATATGTTAAAATATTCTTGAGCTGAAAAAATTGTTATTTCTGAGATTGGGGTCAAGTGTTCGTTAGGGACGTGTTCCGTAGTTCCTAAATTTTGTGTATAATTCCTAATCCACCATAGAAAAAAGGAAATATCTGTTCTACAACAGTATTATTTCAGTGATTTGAAATATTAGCGTGAACTGGTGTGAATAAATTCTAAGGTGAGTACCAGTTACCATATCTGCCTATTATGATTTTCGATATTGGTCTATTTCAATAGTTGATACATTCTTTGTTCTGGTTCTTCAAAGAGGAAATTCATCAGATTTCATGCTTTAAATAGGTTCATGTCATGAAAGAAGTGAAGCTTATTAGAATCGGCAACAAAAAAGATTTCTTGCTTCTATTTCAAATTGAAATTTGAATGAAAATGTTGAGCACAGTATTTATTCGACCACAGAACAATGATGGAAATAGATTCATCCCTCACAGAACCAAGGTTTTGAACGATTTTCCGATTATGGCGCCTCTATCGCAAATACCTGAACCCCACGTCTAAAACTCGCTTGCAATTGTTCCATATCGAGAGTGAGCCCACTAGTTGAATTTCTATACATCTCTTGATGAATATTCAGAATCTGTCAAATATCAGTGTCGACTTGACTTTCATGCATAGTGGGTCATTGTGGGAACAGTTCCTGGATGAAGACTGAATACAATAACCCGATTTTTTCATACGTTAGAAAAATGGTCGATAAGGGTTAAGTGGAGAATTACATTCTATATGTTATTATTATTATTGATTTATTATTTGTATAAATAGCATTACTCACCCCATTGAGTAACTTCACTTTAACTTCATCTGCTTTCAGATTCTCGAAAGTTTTGACTCCTTTGATGGGCTCTCCAGAACTCCGAAGATATATGTCATTCACAAGGATGCCATTTATTTTTTCTGAATACATTTTCTCAGCAGTCAAAACTCCTATTCGGGTTTTTTCAGTAAAAACTAGCTTACCCTCAGACTGAAGAACCATATCTGAAATTACCAATTTTACCATGTCATACAAAACATTTTAAAATCTAAATGAGCCAAAAAATAGGCTGAGAAAACGCGAAGAAGATATGAATCTTCAAAAATTCGGTCAATAAACGACTTTTAAGAAATTACCTTGCTTGTTGTATATATTCACGGTGTTCCAAATTTGAAAGGCAATGAAACTCGAAAAAAAAATTATGTGTTGACGCTTCATTTTTCATTTCCGAGATACAAGGCATTGGAGTTGTTGAAAATAGTAGTTTTATAGTCACAGCAAAAGCACTTCTCAGCTGTTTTTCGTTGAACTAAGCAGTTTTATTCATGATATGACAATGTGTATGATTTGGCGTAAGTATATTCACTGTAGCTATTCTAGTAGCGCATCAGAGGGTTGCTAAATGGACATATGAGGTAAAAATCATTGTGCTCCATTGTTTTTTTTGTTGAATCATGAATTCTTATTTGAATTAACAATGTACAGAGCGCCCCTTAAAATTCAACCCTCTTTCAACTCATTTTTTTTGAGAGATATGAAAGAATGTAAAACTAAAAAGTTGTTTGAAACGGGTTGTTTTATATACAGGATAATTCGTTTTTCCTGAAAGGACATCAACTCTGATTTTCTTAATGTAATACCCTATATATTTTTTGACATGTGTCGATGGAATTTTCTTTTCTGATTTCTAAATTATGAATAAGTTGAATATTCAGATGAAAAATTGTTGAGTTATCAATGATCAAACATTACCACAATACCGCAGTTGAAAATAGTATCGGCTTTGAAATAATGTTTATGTATTGTTCAAGCTCCATGATAATGTAATGATATATTGTTTATTATGGTATTGAAATCATTCAATCTCAATAGGAAAATATGAATGGACTGTTTGAATATGGAAGATGCGGTATTTTGGTGAACTTTTATCATTAATAACTGAACAACTCCTCATTCAAATATGCTACTAATTCATATTTTTGGAATCAGAGAAGAAGGTTCTATCGGAATATCAAAAAATATATAGGGTGTTTCTTTCAAAAAATCAGAGTTGATGTTTTATCCAGAAAAATTTTTATATATACAGAGTGACCCATTTGAAAGCGGGACACCCCTGTATCTCACGTAATCGTTGGGTAAGGATCATGAAATTTGCTGGAGCGAGAGATATACCAGAAATGCACTCAATGACCAAGTGGGGTCATCTTCAGTGATATACACTGCTCGCCAACAGCCATGGAACCACCCCAATTTCCGGAAAATTATATTAGGAGTCAAAATAGGTTCAAAATCACTTCGGATTCGGAATCAGGACGCTCAATTCACTAACTCTTCATATTTTTCCTTGAAAATTTTCAGTTCTGAAAAATTAAATTTTGTGCACTTTTCACGGGAGCACCCCCGTATCTCACGTAATTGACTTCATCTTTGGACTTTCCGTTCCTCCTGCAAATTTTAGAACCCTACCACAATAATTACGTGAGATACGAGGGTGCGCTTCCATGAAAAGTGCGACAAAATGTCATGTTTTAGAACTGAAAATTTTCAAGGAAAAATATGAATAGTCAGTGAATTGGGCGTCCTGATTCCGAATCCGAAGTGATTTTCAACCTATTTTGACTCCTAATATCATTTTCAGGAAATTGGGGTGGTTCCATGGCTGTTGGCGATCAGTGTATATCACTGAAGATGACCCCACTTGGTTATAGAGTGCATTTTTGGTATATCTCTCGCTCCAGCAAATTTCATGATCCTTACCCAACGATTACGTGAGATACAGGGGTGGCCCGCTTTCAAATGGGTCACTCTGTATATAAAACAACTTGACAAAATTTTGGGTCGTTTTAAACAACTTTCTCATGCGACATATTTTCGGAAACGAAAGAGTTTAGAGTGGATTCAATTTTGAGAGGAACACACTGATTAGTGATTCACACGACGAGACCAACGAGACGAGACTTTATAAAAGTCTCGTCTCGTTGGTCTCGTCGTCGTTATAAAAGTCTCGTCGTCTCGCCGATGAAATATGAAGTCTTGTCTCGAGTCTCGTCTCGCATCCTGGAATCTCGCAAATGTATCGCAATTTCGTCATGCATAATCTTGTTCCAGTCTAGTACGGGATATTCACCTCCACCTACTTTTTAGGTATAATGTAGAAGTAGGAAGAGGAAATTACAACAAATATAACATTATTTATTGAAAAGTAAGTACCCAATAGGTACATACTCACACCATACATCTAAACAAGAAAAAAAAATATAGCATTATATATTCGAGCCTTCACGATCACAAATGTTGTTGTTTTTCACCCAATCGTTAAGACATAAAGTTATTCTTTATCTCAGATTATTTAGCACAGAATGACTTATGTATATAGATTTTCAGGTAGTCATTCAATTTGCGATCTGTCGTTATTGCAGAATTGCATGCGTTTACATCTTGCCGTCGTAAGAGAGAGAATAGTCCGTTTTCGTTTCACGCATTACGTCGTCCTACAACAATCATAGATTGTGTTTTTAAAGAATTTATGATCGAAATGTTCTGTCTATATGTGCTAAATAGTCTGAATTCTTTCTGAATATGTTGATTTATGAATGAAATTCTCAAGTCTGCAGTCGCCACTCAGAAATATTTACCTGCGAGACTCTCGCACGAGACACGAGAAGTCTTGCACGAGACTCGAGACGAGACCAATAAAAGTCTCGTCTCGTCTAGTCCTAGTCTCGTTTCGAGTCTTGTCTCGAAAACGAGACGAGACCATGCGAGACTCTCGAAAACGAGACTCTCGCGGGCACCACTAACACTGATACATAAACTCAAATTTTTGCGATATAAAACTTATCAAAACTAAATTACACAACATGATGTATTTATACATACCTTTAACCAACGAGTATTCGGGAGAAACATCCAAGTGATTAGTCACTACATGTTTCAATTTCACTGGGCCAGTTATCGTTTGAGGTTCATCATATTTCAGCCATTGTTCAGGAGTGAACTCATGAGAATTCAGCGATTTGATAACCACATTTCTGGCGTCCATTTTGCTGCATCGTATTTTTCCTTTCAGGATCAGACTTCCATTCACAACCTGAATATATAGACAAGAACACGAATGCATTTGATTCCAATGTGCATGTAACTGGAATATTTTTGGATAGAATATGCTGTGATTTCAAAAAACTCCAGTTCTATACCCTACAATTTCATGTTCAATACGTTCAAACATAGCATCCAGCGGCAAACACGTCTATCCAGGACTGACGTCATGATACTTTTTCCTGTGTTGCTTGCTGTTTCATAGCAATTGCCATCGGTAAAACTGGCTCGCACTGAGTGCATATTTTGAATTCCATTGGTAAAACTAGTGTCGGGTTTTGAATTCCATTGAAAAACTGGTGCACATAGTTTAGAGCTCAGTGCAATAATTCCTATTTCTATTAAAGCTAATGCGAAGTCAGTGCAGTTTTGAAAATGGCGGAAACATTGGGTATGCATAGTTTTAAAACCAAAATTGAGTGGCAATCTGATCATTATCATCAACTAGTGATGAAAAGTTGGAGGTTTCGAGAAAATAAAGGAGATTACTTCCCAGAATTCATAGTTTTGTTGAATGTTCTGCACTAATTCAATGATGAAGAGGAACTTATTAAAAAAAGTGCTCAACATTATTTCCATCAAACATCTTCTTTGTTTTTAATTGAAGTCAAGAAAGAATTTCAGGACGCAGACAAGTTATAAACAAAGCCCTATTTATCAGTGCACATTTTGGAGGGAACTAACGTAGTGCGGGTGCAAAACTGGTGCAAAATCAGTGCACCTCCAGGTTTACGAATAAAATTCGCTATTATTTTGAAAAAATAACAAGTAAATATTACCCAATTTTTGAATCGCTTTAACTGTTAACTGTCGAGATGATTCGATATTCATTGTTGAAGTAAATGTCACCAATATAGGTTTCACACCCATTGCAATTCAACAAGTTTGAAGCTGATATGATTACTAATACTAACCCAGTAAGTTGCAGCAAATTGTTGTAGGTCCAATCAGCAGCGACAAATTTCGGTTCAATCCTCAATAATTATACATTTATACCGAGGTTTACTGAACGATTTTGGTATACTGTATACTTGCCATTGTAATTATAACCTCAAATTCTGATGACATTACTTTAATATTTTTGTCATAATATGCCACAATCCAGTTTATAATAAAACAAGACCGAGTGAGTTTCAAATGCATTAAGTATAAATAATAAAATACTCACGATGTTGCTTCCATTAGGCATAGAGTACGAGTCCAACAAAGAATTCACGAGATCCAATCTAGTACTCAGTTCACTGATTTTGACTTCTGCTTCCGAATCCTTGAAGGGGAGTGGAAAATGAAATGGAATAAATGTTATTTTCCATTCAGAGTAGCCTTAGAGTATGATTTTCAGAAAATTTGTTGATGACGAATGATAATTTGAACAGATTCTCGAAGAGTGTTATTAATATTATCAGCAGATCTTACCAGTGTTGAACTCTCACCCAGAACTACACTGGAGTTGTTCTCTAACTTTGCAGAATCTAACTCTTCAAAGTTCTTCAATTTAGATCTAGCATCTTTCAGTGTTTTTCTCCTGGCATATACATTTCGTTCCAAATTATTGAAACATTCTCTAAGTTGCTCACCCTCATTCCCACTAGTTTCTGTAAAAAGTGAATGATATATACCTATATCTTCTAATCGATTTAACAGAAAATGTCATGCCTGGAAGTTTGAGGAATCATAAATAGTGAAGAATTGGTTTCGATACATACGAGAGCTAAGAATCACTTCGAACTGTAACTTTGAATTCAGGAAAAATTTACTTTTTGGAAAACAACCACACAAATTTGTTTTCTTTCTATTAATCCATTCGAAAACCTATAGTAAATAGGCAAAGTCCATCCGCTACTCAGATGGTATAACGACTATCAAAAAGTGCCGCAGTTATTTGAAAAGTTTTATTGGTGCGTATGCTATAGTCACTGGATGGTATTACTTAAATAAGAGTTTGGACACAAAAATGACAACTGTTAGTGTTTTTGAATGCTAAGATTTATTAAGTTAGACACTTTGAATTGTGACAAATGCATCATAGTCGATCCGCGCTTTTCCATTCAAAATTGTTTGAATTTGACAATACATTTTATGAACGTCAGAAATGAAATATAATTTCATGAAATATTGAGAAAAAAGCATGAATGATGATGTCCTGCTGTGTAATGAGTTGCGGGAATTCTGAAGGGAATGGCGATTTCATTTTTCAATTTTCCAAAGGAAATTATAATATCGACCATTCCCTTATGGAAGGTATGTATATGAAACGACCTGGATGGAAAATCAATTCGAAGATAAGCCAAGTTTGTGAGGTAAGTACTTACATAAATTCACTTCATATAACAGCAGATTGAAATTGAACTATATTTTAGGCCCATTTTCAAAAACAAGAATTATAAGATCCGTTTGAGATAATCTGCTGCTCCATTGATTTACAAAACAGACTATTAAAAAAACTGAATATTATCATCACACGGAATGCAAATCAAAATTTCCATAGAGAAAGAGGAATTGATTGCGAAACTACATAATGAAATTGAAAATTTGAGAAAGAAACTGAGGCAATAGGTAAATTGCAACGTGATATAGGGTGCGTTTATCATTCCAACATTTTATCATGCGCATGAATCGAAGAAACCATTAAACTGTTGCAAAATTCCGCTGGAATGTTGATGGACATCCATCAAACTGTTGTAATAAAATGCGCAATTCTAAATCGCATTTCGGGAATCCAGCAGTTTGAAGGAGATTGACATGACAGTTGACACATTTTAGTGTTGTTTTTTGTTTTGATTTGATAGAAAACAATTAATATTGAGGATTTTTGAGATTCTTGAGAGATTTTAGAAGAAAGAGTCAGTGTTAATCAATAAAGTCGAATTAGCCTTTTCTGATTCTCAAGATACATGATGACTGACACACAACAAAATCCGTGTTTCCATCAATGTGTTGTATAAACCATTGTTCATTCCTTCCAGCATAAATTCCAACAGAACAATTGGTGACGTCACGACAAAAAACCGCATCTATCAGTGCGCACTTTCTTCGATGGAATGAAAAACACGCCCATAATATATCATCGAATGACGTGTTAAATACCGACCAGATTCAAAAAGTATCAGTGAAAAGTGGATACAGCAAAAGGTGGAAAATCAAAACAATCTTGATGTTTCAAACTGTATCACTCGGTCACAGTTTCACATACAATAAGGAACTAGCCATAAGTATATCCTTATGTGTGTATTTTGTCATATTAAAATGTTGTTATATGAATTCTTTTCATTTTAATATCTATTGTTCTGCGAAAAGTGTATCGCTAAATAAATTGAAGTGGGTATTTATACCCTATTTTTATTTTTCATTTACGACAATGACTGATTCGACAGAAAATATAACCTCTGAAATCGTATCTGACAATCAGGCGCTACTAGGGAAATTGAAAAGACAAAGAGCAGATTACATGTCTTATTCTTCTATTCACTCAACCATCGTAATATAGAAAATAGAAAAGGACAGAAGTTCAGCTGTGTCCGAACTATTATCTAACTAATACCCTAATACCACCCAGTGATTCTAGTGTATGCTATCCTCATACAAATGAATGAATGATGGCACTTCTTACACGAATATTCAATTCAATTCAATTCAATTTTATTTCTCTAATTGAAGTACATGTCATGATGTTGTATGAAATCATATATAAAAAGAGAAAATCCTAGATCTTGCATCTGAGCCTAGGCAAGAATGCCTGTCTTGCTTTGTGCTCGGTCTCAGGATTTTCATGATGATCGTACATTTTGTGTTGTGTTGGAATATAGTGAGTAATTAATGAATAAATGAAAAAACTCTAAGGATTCTGAGTATTGGAATTCGAAAACTGACACAGTAGTATATGAATAAATAATACAGTGGATAATACAGGGGAGAGCAGATGACAGATATGTGGTAGGTTGGTACTTATCACCTATCACCTGAAGGTAATTCATTGTCTGTTAATTGTTTTTTTTTTATCTGTCGGATAATATTTTTCTAAGTCTGTTCTGAGTTTGAATTGAGTATAATATTTCATAAAATTTTGTTGGTGAGTTGAAAATGTGTTTTTTCGTTTCAGCTTTGTATTTCTTCATACTTGAAATTTGTTTCAGATCGCTTGGAATGGAGTTGTGAAATTTAGGACCAGAGAAAAAGAAAGATCTTTGTGTTAATGTTTTTCTGAAAGATTGGATATTTAGATCCTTATTTGTAGTTGACCTCATAAACCGAATACTTGTTTTGTTGAACTTGTCACGGTGTATATACATTCTTTTCAAGCATTAGCAATATCAACTTGGTGTTCAATAGTTGCGTTTCTTGATATAGACTGTCAGTAGAAGATCTTTTGGTTCTCTTCAGAATTATTTTTATCAGTGTATTTTGTGTTGTTTGCAGGATACTCATAGTGGTGTTGAAAGTACCACCCCATATTGTGATACAGTATGGCAAAATAGATTCAGCTAAGGAATTATAGAGCATTAGGAGACTTTTTTAAAAAACTATTTCTAGCAGGGTATAGAAATTGTACATTAGAGTTCTTAGGCGTTTGTTTACGTGATAACTCCTAGGTATTTCATTGAAGAAACTTTCTCTATTGAGGGGCATATACAAAGAAGTGCCTAAAAAACGGCCAGTCCTGCAACTTCTGAATCATTCGACATAGGATTTTGAGAATTGGTGCGCAGCAAGTATACAGAATTGCTCATTAATTGACGAAACAATTTTTGTGCTTTCACTTCCAGTTTAACAGGAAACGACCCCAACTTTTGATTTTTCAATAAACTGTTAGGGCCGTTTTTTGTGCACTTCTATGTATAGAACCGATGAAAGCGTGCCAGCGACGTATCATATAAATGTTCATGAAGTGGTTGTTAGTTGAAGTTAATGATAAGTGAAGTTGAACTTTATCAGATTTTGCTGTTGTCAGATGGATAAATGAGGTAGGTCCGTGCATAGTTTGTCGTCTTTTTAGCACAGACTATTAATTATTGCTCCATCGTCTATTCATTCATTCATTCTTGGCCATTTCGATATATTTTGGCTCGCCCTTGGCAAGACCCGTTTTCATTCGTTAGACAATACTATATACCTAACCTAATCTGAACTACTCACTCAACCTAACATGACATCGGTCAGTATATTCACCCTTCTGTGGAAAATAAAGATCATTGTATTACTCATTCCATGATATGACATTGACTTTCATCTGAGGGTATAGGCATTTGAAGCGAGAAACGCATTGAATTAAGGGCTCATTACCTGTTTCACTGAAGTTTGCTGTTGTATGCACTACACTTATGGTCACGTTATCGTCCTGATTTGACCCTGCTATGAAACTCAGAACTTCGCTTCCATCGACATGGTTATGCAGATCTAAAATTCTTGTGAGTTCTGAGGAATTCCATTTTTCGGATCCCATCGTTAATTTGTTGGCAGAGAGTGAATATACACTCAGGGTATCCTGCAAACAGGAATTAGGTGTGTTATATGCATAAATTATCAAAGTGCTCAGTACTCTTAATTCTGGCATCACGAATAGAATGAGATAGAACTGTTGATAACATCGGAACATATCTACATTTCTTTCATGAGCAGGATATTTTTTTGTCTGGATTGCCTCCAGATGTTTGTGATTACTATGAAATATGTTTGTTCCAGCTCCTTCACATAAAGAAAATTCAAATTATACTGTCTTGTTGCTTATCCCAGAGTTGAGTTTTTCCAATAGCCAAAAAGAGCGAGATGGTGATGCTGTTTCAGCTCACTAGGCCTCATCAGTCTCACTCGGCCTGTTGATAATATTAGGAATTCACTATGTCTCAGATGATCATTCAATTTGAATTGGAATTTTATAATTGTTTCCATCTGTTTGGAACTGTCATGAAATATGTTTGTTCCAGTTCCTTTTCATGAAGAAAATTCGAATTGAACTATCTTATTGCTCATTCCTGAGTAGATAGTTTCCTGAACAGCCAACAATAGCTAGATGGTACTGTTTCGGTCATTTAGGTTACATCAGTCTCACTCGGTATGTTGATAATACTGGAAAAGCTCCACGTTCCAAGTAGGTTTTTCGTCCTATCCGAAGACCTGCGATCGTTTTACATGAAGCAGGATCTTTTTGGGACGAGGTAAATATGTTGAATTGAATTTCTGCGTTGAGTGTTTGTTTTAGTTTCTGTTCATGGAGCAATTCAAATTTCACTATCACGATCCCGATAGATCATTTCGAAAAAAGCCATGACACTGACAAATTGTCAACTCAGAAATGATGCAACTGTACACAAAATGATTTCTCTTGTTCAAAAAATTGGAAAATGAATTGTAGTAACTTCTGAATGAACGTCATACGGAATATGGCGTCCTCAAATCTGTCAAAATTAGAAACCCGCCACCTGGAATATACATACTTACATTGGAAGAAATCATCAGCAGAGATTTATTATTGATTGTAGATATTCCTGACAAGATAACTTCAGTTTGTGTTTCTATTGTATTCACGTTAGTCAATCGAAAACCTGCAATTGAATAAAAATTAATTTTCTTCCTTATCAATAAAGAAACTTTGTTTATTATATTGTTAACGAGTGAAACCTATATGGCTATTCAAAAATAACATATATAATTCAGTTACCATTCCACTGATATATAGCATTGTTTTTAGACCGTTCGTAGATGATAACATGGGTTTTGTTCTTGCTAGAATACGTATCTAGATTAACAGGATGCTCAGTTTCTAAAATTTGTATTTTTTTCATTTCCTCTTCTTGAAACTCATAAACCTCTGAAAATACCTAAGAAAAAGACAATTTTCACGTAATGATTCAGTTACATCTACAATGAAGAATTAAAAAAAAAACTTTGTGAGAAAATGAAATCTTGTTATTTCGTTTCTATAAACGACCCAAGGCGAAGACGACTAAAATTCAATGAAAATTCACATTAACATCTACAAAATCTCATTTCATTCACGTAACTAGTCACTTAACTAGTATTCAATCTATTTCTTGATAAATCTGAAAAATGCAAGAACTGAAGTTCCTCCTTCATCTTGACTATTTAATGTTTATATATAAAATCTCCTGAGCCGCTGAGATTTTGTCATTAGGACATCGAAAAAAGTTTGCCCTAACTTATCCAGCGACAAAACCAAAACTTAACATCTGAAAGCATGACAACAAAATTGTAAATGCATTTTTGATGGTGTTTATATCATGTTTTCTCAAACTTGCGTTCTCAGAAAAGTATCTAATCTGGAAACGTCGCGATTTGGAGTCTTCGAGTAAAGAAATTGAAAAAAACCATCAATAATAATATGTGATTCAATCCATTGAACTGTCTTACCGATCGACTTACACAAAAGCATTTTTTTGAGGTCAAAGTTGAGTTAACATTAATAAATAGATTTTGGTGGCATTTATGTCGGAATATCTTTCCAACTGAATTAAAAAAATTTTTTTTCCACCAATATGAAACCCCGCTGACGAACCAAACTTTCAATTATTGAAATGCATTTGACCTTGGACAACAAAAATGTCGCCTCTGGCGCTTTTTGCTTTATGTCACTTCCCCCCGCACCACGAATTACCCGACACGAATATTTCAAAATTAGCAACAGCGCTCCTTATGATCACACACATTACAACTCATATCAGCCCTAATAGCACGCAACGTCCTAAGGGTGTCCCTATTTGGTACAATTCAAGTCCGCATGTCGCGGACCAAAAATAATTGTCCTTGGAACATCCCATTCCGTACATCTTATGTACATCAGCTGTTACATCATTCCAAATGTCTTAGAAATAGCATCCTTCAGACGTCTGACGTGGTCACATATTGTAGAATTTCCATGCAAAGACGTCCTTGGTATGTCCCTGATGGAATATGATTTGTAACGTTCCATAAGGAACATCCATTGGATGTACCAAGGAGTAAATATTCTGACATGACTCATGGCCCTTCACTAGAACAACCATTAAATGTCCGAGACACTATATTTTTTCAATTATCTCTGCACGGACGCCCTAAATATTTCCAGAATCGTTTAACATTCGAAATGTTCCTGAGGGACATTCGTCCGATGTCCCAATTGGTACATAAACTGTTATGACTTCAGGAGGAACTCCTATAGATAATCCATATGTTCATCTTAGCATTAATAAGTACAGAAATATCCTCAGAATAACCTGGATACGATTCAAAATGTATCTTATGGGACATCAATCGGTGGTATACATTGACAGCAGGACTGAAGGTCCTACGAACGTCCCAGTCGGTACGTTTAATATGTTGTTCTCGCCAAGACGTCAACCTACACCTCGCCGATGATCAACTGCTAGCGTAGGCTATAAATACGTCAATATTCTTTTCCAAGGTCCATTGGACATCCTTGGGAAACTCTTTGATGAGGCCTCTTGGGAACCTTCTACGGACCATCATTTCCTCATCAGTTATGCGAGATCTGGTCTCTCTAGGGACCCAATTGAATTCAAATTCAAGAATCTTTCGTACGTTCCTTGGACATCCTATGGACATTCAATTCATATTTCTCAGCTATGCTGATAGGTTGTCTTACGGATGTCCTTCGTAGTGCTTGATGCGAGATACTGTGAAGGATTTAAGTATTCTATAATAGTCCCAGGGACATCCCTTAAGAACGTCCCTAGTTGGTCTTCAACTGGGACATTTGTGCGTCCCACAGACGTATAATGGACGTGCGCGGTACCAAGTTTGAAAGTCCTATGAACTTCCTGAATGTTCTGACGGGATGTCCTGAATGTCCAGACAAGCATCCTAAGGATGTCCATGGGATATCATTGTGCTATTCTCAAGAAAGTTTGGGGATGACATCCCTGCTTAGGAGGTGCATCAAAAGTTGTTCTTCTGACAAACTCGACGTATTTTTGGTTTCGTCGAAAAGTCTTCCATACCCAGACAGCACTGGATATTCCTAGAATATTCTCCAAATATGCTAAAAAGGAGGAGTATATTCTGATTATTCATCGATTATTCCTAGAATATATATACATGCCTCTGGAACATCTAAAAGGAATATTCCAAAGTGAATAGTTGGATATGTTCAGGGAATATTTAGGTATGAATGTTCCAGGAATATTCCCAACTGAATATTCTCTGTTGTATATTTATGAAATATTCCCAACTGAATGTTATGTGGGGTATATTCACGAAATATTCTCAACTGAATATTCTGTGCGGTATATTCGTGAAATATTCTCAACTGAATATTCTGTGGTGTATATTCATGAAATATTCCGTTAATATTCCTATGTTTCTCAACACATAAATACCAATCATTATTTCAGAGATGTGAGTATCGAACATCAATTATATGTAAGGGGATTCTGAAACAAAAAGTGTTTATGATCCGATTTCGAACAACGCTCTCTCAAGAAATTGATATGTACCACATTATTCAATTCGATTACTGGCCTAGTGCTCAAGGCGTCGTTGCTCTGATAGTCTTGAGTTCACGAGTTCGATCCCTACTTGGGTCACTTTTACATTTTAGAATATGTTTATTGGAATATTCCAGGAACATTCAACATAGAATATTCTTTTCTATTCTATGAATATCTGAGGAATTCCCATTCGCATATTTAGAGAATATTCCACAGATGTTCCGGAATATTCCAGATTATTTCTAGAATATTCCAATATTCCAAAAGGAATATGATAGGGAGATTCATGGAATATCTGGTGCTGTCTGGGCATAAGGCTGCCTTGGGGCACGATCTCAATGGACCATCCTGTATCTCGATAACAAGGACATTTAAAATAAAATTATACAAGGTGATATAATCTTTATATGGAAAACCTCAATTTGGGAAATACATTTTCAAATCGAGAATCGAAGAGATACATTGATTCATTATTTCAGATTTTTTGGGATTTTCTCAACTCGTCTCTATAAAATAAAAATATGAATACTATTATCATCTGATTTGTCCTTATTACACGTAAATTGAAATAGTATTCATATTTTTATTTTATAGAGACGAGGAGATCGAGAGAATCCCAAAACATCTGGAATAATGAATGTACCATCTACAAACAGAATTCAGATACATTGATGATTTTAAACAATTTCTTTGTTCAGGAGGTATAATATTTGATTTTCCAATAGAATGGAATCGTCTCAAACACAATTGATAATGCCTGTAGGGAGAAAACGAGCCCCTATGTGCAATCAAATTTCGAATTTTATGGACCACCATGTGCGAAATACTTACTGCTCTGTTCGGGAGTTGTCGTAAAATTATTATAATTTCTGATGTTTGACTACTGAAAGTTGTAACTTTTATTGCTCCAGTCGTAAATACTGTTTGAATTTCATCGAAATGACTTCCCAGCCACTTATATAACCTGGAATAAAATATACCACGTAGAGGGTGATTCTGCGAATGTTCTCACTAGAGTATGCTTCCGAAGTGGAATCGAATTATTTCGACACAGAAAAAATATTTGTTAGACTAACAGAATATTTCTATTTGTATTGTTAGAAATTTCTCAAGAACACGTTGATCCAATTTACAAACAGGAGATTCTGGTTTAACTTGATTATTTGGTATTTTCTCTCCTCGTTTCTATAAAATAAATATATGCTCTACAATTGATACATAAATAACCACTGTTCAACTTCACTCAAAATTTGGACTAAAAAATATAATTTCAAAAAAGCTATGTTTAAAACTACTCACAGACCATGAGAACAAATTCATGCGATGTGTCAGCTTTCAAAGCATTCATACAAACATTCACCACAATGTTGTCAGTACTCTCGACATAATGGGCGAGTGGTGATCAAGTGAACATGTCCTGTCGTTGAATAAAACATAATAGAGTTGACTCATGATGTTATAGTTCATTCTTGACTTTTTCACGCAACCAGCATGTCCAAATATTTCTTATTCGCCATAAGAAAATATCAATATTGAATGTAGGAGACTTGGCAACATTATGCTGAATGCTGAGAACTGACAAGACCACGTCCACAAGTCGTGTGCCGTGGTTGTCACGTTCACCGATTCAAATGTCCTCTAATGTGATTAATATAATCATTATCTACACAAATTTATTACAAGTAATAAGCCACATATCATGCATGAGGAAACATTTTGAGACAATTGATTTTTTATTGCTTATTAGGAGAATTACCAATACTCGATTGATAATTTATAGATTATCGAATAACTTATATTTCTGGAGTTCCCAATCGTATTTCAACACATGGCAACTGTGCTATATGGTCTGCCCCTACTTACAAAATCGTGACGTCAGTTTTTACTGGCGGTAAATTTCTAGCCGTTTGAAAATCAACGAGGCATTGTTGATTTTAGCACCTAAAAATGAACCAACAAATTCTCAAAAAAAATGAAATTGATAGTTATTCGAGTGATGATTCTATTTGGGAAATAGAAAAAAAATTGTCCACTCGCCTATTCTAAAAAAATTTGTACTTATTCGTATCTTGAACATGGATAAGGTTGAGGAAAATTTTTACAGAGTAACCCGACTCATTTCGCAGTGTTCTGTCTATCCTAGCAACGGTGCCACAATTTGGAATACTCTGTATAAGTTATAGTGAAATCATCAATGTAAGGCTAATTTGATCAGCGAGTATTTTAGATGTCGTGTGTTTAGAATTTTGTGTAAATCTCATCGTTAGTGTAATTCATTATACTAACGAAATAAAGTTAGCGTTTGTATTTTCATCAATTAAATTCATTTCTGCAAATTCAACAAGATATATCAAAACAAAATAATATTTTATACATCAAAATTCAGAAATGACGTGAAAAATATCTTTTTCATTCGAACTTCCGGTATCATTATTACCCAGACAGCACAGAATATTCTATGAACATTCAATTTGACATATTCTCAGAATTTCGAATGTTCTGAGATTATTCTTATTGAATATTCTTAGAATATCCAGAATCGTATCAAAATAAATGATATTGATATTCCTATTCTTGTATCAATATTTATGATGTTTATCATGACATAACCAGTTATTCTCTAGCCTCAATGCTGATTATCCCACTAATTCAGTGTTGTCCACTTGCTATTCATTTTATTTATCAATAAGGTTCGTGGCAAAGTGGTTACGGTTTCAGGTTTGTAAAAATTCAATCACAAGATACCTAGTAGGTTCGCATCTCCACCGGAGCAAGCTTTTTTCAATTTTCTTCATTCTCCTTCAATTTACTAGGAATATACGAAATAGGCACAAAGCTCAAGTGGAATGAAATGTTAAAAAAATACGAAAATCTTAGTCATGTCCACAAAATGAACAATAATCGTGGATTTCGGTAGAAAAATAACTACTTTCCTGGCTAATGCCACGCAGAACATTGAATTACATCCTCCCGAAATCTAAGCATCGCCTCGTATGAACGAATGCTGATACAATTGATTCTTTCCTGAATGCCCATTGATTTAGATTTAGCCAGGTCACGCTAGACACCTACAGACCTAAAGGCACTGATGAGAATCAAAGAGCTCGAAACCGGTCTGTAGGTGTCTAGCGTGGCCTGGCTGAATCGAAATCAATAGGCATTCAGGAAAGAATCACTTGTATCAGTATCAGTTTATTCGAGTCGATACATAGATTTCAGGAGGATGTAATTCAATGTTCTGCGTGGCATTAGCCAGGAAAGTATTTTTTTTTCTACCGAAATCTACCATTATTGTTCATTTCATGACTTCGAGCTTTTTGTATCTATTTCACTAGGAATATTCTCAGAATATTTGAAGCAGTCCATTCCAAATGTTCATAAAACATCCCTAGAATATTTGTATCATATTGTGAGAATATTATGAGAATAGAATGGCGACCGTTGAATATGATTTCTGGTGTTGAGTTGGCGTATTTTCAAACCCGGAAAGCCACCCTAAATGTAAGTACTTATCTATCAATGTTGTTTTCTGTAAAGTGTGATAAGTGTTTTATTTTCAACGATTGTTATTTTACATAACTTATTTTGCTTTTAGCAAAACCCCTCATTTTGAAATATCATTTCAATATGTATTTTCTTGTTTTTACTTCGGTGTCCTGAAGATGAAACAATAAAGTTTCGAAACGTCGACTATTTAAAAGTTGGTTTTCTTCAACATTTCGACCGAATTCCCGCCAATTCAACACCAGAAATTATGAGAATATTCTATGAAAGTTCTATGAATGACATTGTGCTATCTGGGTAGACACCCTATATGCGACGGCTGTTTTCAATATACCACAGCTTATACAGTGTGTCCATTTAGTGCGTAATTCTTCGATATCTCGTAAGCCATAACCTATAGAGAAAAACTTTGGAGAACAAACTTTTTCAGTTACCAAAGTTGCTCATTTGAAAAATATTTTAAATATTACTGGGTGTTTTATAAAAGCGGGGCAACTCGAAGAAGAGTTTTTTAAATGGAACACCCAGTATTGTTCATTCGGAATTAATTCTGCCGAGGTTCGCCTTCACATCGCTGTAAATAAAATTGAAATCGGTTGTGGCGTTGCCAAGTTATAATTGATAAATCTATTTTTACCATTATTGAAGAGTCATGTTGAATTGGGCATGGTATATTCATTTATTCAAATTTCGAAAAATATTTTCGGCATACGGTAGAAGCAAGGTCCCACGTATACCAATCCAGTAATCTTGCGACATGTTCTTCAACAGGGTGCTCAATTTTGCATTTAGAAATTTGCAAGATTCAGATGACATTCATCAGAATTTTTCAAAGGAACACCCTGTGTTATACAAAAATTCATTCCGCCATCTTTCACCTTTTTATCGCTGGAGAAAAAACCGAAATCGGTTGCGGCGTTGTCAAGTTACGGATAATTTCCTTATTTTTACTACTATTTCGGGGTAATTTGTACGTCATAGTTCTTTCATTTATTTGTATTATGGAAATATTGCGTTGTTACGGTATGATCAAATTTGTTCATTGACCATTCATCTATTTTTTTACAATAGGAACCTTTACACCTTCACAGGCTCTCCAAGTTTGAATTATTTTCGGAATACACTTATATTTGTGTGATGATCTGTCAAATATCGCCACAATTAAATATATCTTGGATTAATTCGAAATTTTGCTGACTTCCCTCCCAAAAGCCGCGTAGTAGAGACATATTGTTTGTATCATTATGTTTACCTTCTTCAAGTTAAATGGAGATTAGGATTGTGGGAATAACGACAATAAAAATGGCTCAAATTTCAAAAAAAATCCTAATTTTCGCAATCCGCATCTTCATTGTTTGTATTGTAGAAGTTATTTCAAAGACAGGCGTCTATTTTGGCATGTTTGATTGTTTCACATATTATTTGAATCCTAAGTAACAAGATTACGGAATATTTCAAATTTGGACGATACACATATCACAAAAATACCTGAATGATCTATGTAGAACCTGAAATGTCATGTGGCAAGCAATATTCCCACACTCAAATCAAATTAAGAAACCATCATGACGTACAAATTACATCGAAATAGTAGTAAAAATAAGGAAATTATTCATAACTTGAAAATACCGCAACCGATTTTGATTTTTTCTTTTGCGATGAAAAGGCGAATAGTGTCGAAATGAATCCGTGATGAAAAATACAGGGTGTTCCATTTGAAAAATTGTCATGATCATCGTCTGAATCTTACAATATTCAGAATGTAAATTTCAGCACCCTGTAGAGGATTATCTCGCAAGATCACTGAATTTGTATACGTGAGACCATGCTACTACTGTATGCCAAAAATATTTTCGAAATTTCAATAAATAAATATACCATACCCAATTGAACATGACCCTTCAACAGTAGTAAAAATGGGTTTATCAATTATAACTTGGCAACGCCGCAACCAAATTACATTTTTTTTTACAGCGATGTAGAGCTGAACTTGAACGGAATAAATTCCGAATGAACAATACTGGGTGTTCCATTTGAAAAAACTCGTCTTCGAGTTGCCCCGCTTTTATAAAACACCCAGTATTGTTGGAAATATTTTCGAAATGAGCAACTTTAGCAACTGAAAAAGTTTTTTTCCTTAAAGTTTTTCTCTTGTGATAATAGATTCCGAGATATCGAAGAATTACGCACTAAATGGACACACTGTATATAAAAAGAATCACTCACGAGGTGGCTGCCAAGTTGTCGCCCTTATTGTTGACCACGATCAAATACAAATCTCCATTGTGGACGAAGAAACCTGCATCCCTGGAATGCGGGACAAGGAGGGTTTGGATGAAAAAGGGATCATCTTCAACGAGACCGTACATGTGGGCCTCTCCCACTTCAAATCGTGTCAGAATCATGCCTCTACCGTCGAATTCTATAGCCTAGAAATTTGAATGAGCTAGTGCTTATCTTTCATCATATCTACGAACAGAGTATCTGTTAGGTCCTTATTTTGATCAAGTGGGACATGCCACACGTGTGCATGTGACACAATAAAATGGAATGCTATGAATGACAAAATTCATCTAGGAAATAGATTACCAGAACACATAGTTATTGATGGGCCATCACTTTTGCAATGAAATTTGGGTATAGAAAATATCATGTGGTGTGCTTTTCGCAATTCGAACCGTGTTTAACTTTTTTTTGTTGGATGTATGATAAATTGACATTCATTATACAGGACGTGGAAAGAAATTCTGAATTGAGAAAAACCTTATTATCACGAATCTGCGATTGAGGTCTATAAAAATAACAAGTTTCCATCGTTCAAGTTTGAGCCCCTTGATTGGGTGAAAGTATTGAAAAGGAACATTGTCAGATATATTAATGAACCCAAAAAAATTAATACATATATAAAGAAATACATTGAGAATTCGCATTCTCCATGTGATGAAAATATTGATTCTTTTTCGGTTTATTCATCAGAAAACAAGTACTTTCCTGGGTATATGCCACGACGAATACTGAATTACATCTAGTGAACACACACGATAAGAATTTGAAAACAAAATCTTCATATGAAGGAGAATGCAAATTATCTACTTCAGAAGATTTTGTTTTCAAATTCTTATCGTGGGTGTTCAATAGATGTAATTCAATATTCGTCGTGGCATATAGCCATGAAAGTAGTTGTTTTCTGTTGAATAAACCGAGAAGGAATTAATATTTTCAGCACATGGAGAATGCGAATTCCCAATGTATTTCTTTATACATATATCCATTTTTTTTGTGTTCATAAATATATCAGAGAATGTTCCTTTTCAATACGTGTTCAACTTGCTTCTACCTTTGAATTTGATAGCCTATAAATATGAATGAATGAGTGCTTTTATCTTTCACCTCATTTGAGGCCGGCGTACCTCAGTGCTTCGATGCTTCAATATCGATTCACGTCGAGGTATCGATCGTGGGTTCGAGAGCCACGAACGCAGACTTTTTCTGATGGCCTAAGAAAGTGTTTGGGATCACACGTTAAAAGGTAAGGCCCCCGTCATTCCTTGCTCGCACAAGTCTTTCGAAGACTTCTGAGGGTTGCTCGTAAGGGTGCAACCGAATGACGGATAGAACAATTTTACAAGAACAATTTACAATTTACGAACAGGGTATCTCTTGGGTTCTTATTTCGAGCAAGTGAGAGATGCCACACGTGTGCAGTTGACACAATAAAATGGAATGCTGAATGATGAATTACGAAATTCATCTAGGCAATAGATTCCCAGAAAACAGAATCATTGATGGGCCATCACTTCTGCAATGAAATTTGAGTATAGAAAATATCATGTTGTGGGCTTTTCCCAATTCGAACCTTGTTCAACTTGCTTCTACCTTTGAATTTGATAGCCTGTAAATGTGAATGAATTAGTGCTTTTATCATGAGTATCTGTTGGATTCTTATTCTGATCAAGTTAGACATGCATAGGGTTGCTATATTTCGCCACAGTCTCGTCGGGACATAAAAATAATCATGTTTGTGATAAAAATTATGAAAAAAATATTTTAGATAAAATATATGTTTGTACGAAGGCGTCTAGGGGTCACACAATCAAAATAAATTTATTTTGTTTTCAAATAAATCCAATATATTGAAAAAAAATCCAATATATTGAAAAAAAATCCAAAATATTGAAAAAAATATCCAACATATTGAAAATATTCCCAATATATTGAAAACGAAAACTATATAATATATCCAATATATTGGATTCATCCTCCAATATATTGAATAAAAAATCCAATATAATGGATTTTTTTAACAATATATTGAAAATATTTTCAATAAATTGGATTTTTTCCCAATATAATGATTTTTTTTTTCAATATATTGGATTTGTTACGTCACGGTTGAATAACTTTTGCCGTATGCGCATAGTGTTTGTTCCACGAAACGACTGCACATGATTTGTCTTACAGTTAAAAATATAGAATATATGGGATATTTTTCAATATATTCAATTTATTTTCCAACATGTTGGATTTTTTTTTCAATATATTGGAAATATTTTCAATATATTGCAATTATTGCATTTTTTTCCAATGTATTGGATTTTTCTTCAATATATTGGAAATATTTTCAATATATTGGATTTATTTGAAAAAAAATATTTTATTCTAATTGTGTGGCCCCTAGACGCTTTCGTATGTTTGTAATGAAAGGTTACGAAATGAGAATATTGTTAATTCACTGCAGAAGTACTCGGATGGCCATATTTTTCAGATGATTCGGCTCTTTTCAACAATTCATTGTGTTCTTTAACACTGTAAAATCGACTCCACAGTCTCTGGGATCAGGCGATCTCGTTCATTAGTACACTGGGCCGACACTAATAAAAAACCCTTTCCACTGTAGCATTGTGTGCAGGAACTGCAAACAAATACCTACATAATTTCACAAGTAAATGTTTTCAATTTTTTACCATTCTGGGATTTCAGATAACCTCATCCAATCGAGCACTTCATATTTATCAAATGATACACACCACTTTTCCAGATATTCAGAAGCTGTGTGAAAAATGCCACTGTCTCTTCGCTACGCGTCGGGAGACAACACAACCTGGAGCTGAAATCTACTATACTTTTTTCCCCAGTATAATAAATAACTATTTGTGTATTGTGAATGTAGGAGTACACTTCTTTGGATAAAGCAATCTATCTATGTATCTATCTATTGATCACATTGCAACACGTGTGCAGTTGACACAAGTGGAATGCTTAATAACAAAAAAATCCCATAACCACACTGAGGCCAATAGATCCTCAGCGAACAATATTATAGATGGGCCATCACTTTCTGAGCAGTATCGATCATCCCAGCGAACTTTCATGGCTAAATATTGAAAGGTTTTGATGGTTAATCTCAAAAATGACTCACTGGCGGAGTCAATCAATCCGTACTTGCATTTTTGATAATTTATTGTTGGCCCGGTGATGGCTGAGTGATGTATTGTCAATGCTTTCCAAATGAAATTCAAGTAGGTTGATTCAACGAACCGAATTTAGGTTTTATGAAAGAGAATCTATAAAAAATATTATGTTGTGGGCATTCCTCAATCACTTCGAATCATGTCTACATCGCCTCTACCATTGATTTCTATAACCTGAGAATGTGATTGAGCGAGTTATTTCATCTTTCATCATATCTACGAAGATAGTATCTGTTCAGTCCACATTTTGATGTTGTGGGACGTGCAACACTTGTGTTGTTGACAAAGGAAGCATCGGAATTCATTGTTGACCCAGTGATGGCTGAGTGATGTATTTTATCAATCGAATTTTGCAACACCCTCTATACAATGTATATAATTACTTCATTGGCGATTGAAACTTGGATGCCAAAATACGAATTGGGGCATCAATGAACAATTAAGTATGTTAATTTTTTTCAACTGGTATTATTACGAATATTACAATGATTTACGAAAAAATATACTGTCTGCTCTGTTATTATTCTTTATATATCAAGTCTTAACAAATTCAAAGAACTTACCTTGGTAAACAATGCTTTTTTTCCATCAGGAAATTTTCTGAATTTATTTCCAATTTTTGTCAAAGCCACAGTCTTGTTGCTATAGATCATTTTAAAAATACTTTTTCCCATACGGAGATACGTTGTATTAAAAAATGTGAAAAAGTTCACATCTACGTTCCTTTCTTCCAGTGTTGTACTCGTTTCTCTTTCAATGGTGATATCATTTGATTCCAAGTAATCTGATAAACAAAATCACAATTAGAAGCTAGAATGAACATCATTGCAAGTTTCTACACATCATTCTCTGAACAAACAAAATCAACAATAATTATTCAACTGTTCTTTTGCACAAAAAATCAATTTTTGACAAAAACAGATCGTGAGACAACATGAAAGTTCATCCAAGACAATGTCAGAAGAAATTTTATATATACAGTGTGTCCATTCAGTGCGCGATTCTTATAGATATCTTGTAGACTATAGAATGTCAAGACTCGAAATGTCAATGTTCTTCAGTTATTTGAGCTACATGTTTTGAAAAAAATGCAATTGTACAGGAGGTTACGCAGAGTCAGGGCAGCTCAGAATGCACTTTTTTGATTGGTACATCCTATATACAGGGTGAGTCATTGAAATCGGAAAGTGAGATAACGGCTTCGCTGTTTGAGATAGATAAATGAAAATGTTTGTGATGGTCTAGGATCATTTGCAGCATATTTCTAAATTACTTCGCGTGTACAGGGTGACTCAAATATGCGTGGCGTATCAAAGTTATACTTCTTATTGTAGGACACCCTGTATTCTATTGCATTTTCGGATTCTCCTTTGTAGGCTGATTCCATTAATACATCACACTCGGGATCTAGCGGGTTGTTACTTTGGGATTATTTTGTGTCGTGTGTGTGTAATTCAAAATTCAGAATTATCGACCATCCTGTATTCCTTCAAATTAAATATCAATGCCTACCTCCTATCCCTGTCCTCCCTAGGAACGCACGATGTTCTTTGAACATTATAGGGATTCCCTTTCGTGCGCTCCAAGCGATAAAAAAAAAGTTAAGATAGGGACATGTATTAGCCGTTTTGATCAAAAATGAATAGTTTCGACAAAAAAATCTGAAGTTGACAAATTTCGAACACCCTATATACCTCTGTAATCATTCTCGCTAGACCCCGAGTATGATCAGGGCCTACTCTATTAGAGTAGGCTCTGGTATGATGAATTGATGAAATCAGCTCACAAAGGAGAATCCGAAAATGCAATGAAATACAGGGTGTCCCATAAGAAACTGTATAACTTTGATACATCACGTATTTTTGAGTCACCCTGTATAACGCGAAATATTTTTGAAATGTGCTGCTCATGAGCATAAACCATAAAAAAAAATTGTTCATCTATCTCAAACAGCGAAGCCGTTATCTCACTTTCCCATTTCAATGACTCACCCTGTATGTCTTTTATAATTATTGAAATATGTTCAAGAAAACTTGATAATGCAACACACAGGAAGTATTCATCTGAATGTCACAGAGGATGTAGATGCATGAACTATAGCTCATTTAGCTAAACTTTGCAATAGTAGAAGAAATCATCAATAACTTGACAACGCCGCAACGAATTTTCATTTGGCACATCTGAGAAGTCGATGGAAGGAGACACCCACGCCACCATTTGAAAACTACATTCTGAGCTGCTCAGTCTCAGTGTAACCACCGGTACCATATAAAGTTTTCCCTGAATTCAAAAACTCACGAGATAATAAAAAATTACGTGCAAAATGGACACACTGTATAAGTACAGAACATTGTACAAAAAATGGCCAGTGCTGTAACTTCGGAATCATTATTTATTTCACCATATTCGGATTCAGGGGATCGTTTTACATACACTAGAATAGTAGATTGTTTTATTAGGATCAAAAGTAACACTTTGTTTGACAAGCGAATTTTGTATTTGCGAGGCGGAGCGTTTAGCGAAGCCGAGCGGAAGCAAAATTTGCGAGTCGAACAAAGTCACTTTTGATCCAAATGAAACATGCTATTTTTTCTGCAACCGAAACAATGAACTCAAATAAATATGTGAAGTAACCACCAATGCTGTGCCATGCAATGCAACAACTATTGACAAATAATCCATGTGGTGAGAATATTCTACCTGCATTAACTGCAGGTTAGGTTTTCTAGGACGTTCGAATTGTAGTTTCAATTTAAATACAACCACAGAGTGACATATTTGTGTATGGACCAGGTGCTCTAATGGCAAATACCACGCCAGTGCCAGCTATAGGAACAAGACGTTGAAAATGTTAGGTTAGTGAGCATATCAACAATGATAATAGTGATTATTTATTCCTCTCCATACTACACTGTGTTTGACTTGATAATCAAATGAAGCTAAACAATATCGTTGTTTGAAACAAAAAAACTATTGCTTGCCGTGATTATTCGAAAACAAGTAATTCATCTCGAGAATAACGAATGAAATTCAGATCAAGCAAGTATTTGAATCTTGAAGGCTTCCCTGATAAAAACAAAAATACTTAACTGAGATGTTTATAATTCCAATACTAAACTATAATAAGGTGTATTTATATCTCCAGAATGGGTATGAAATGCCAAATCTGCTGAAATCGGAAACAAATCAGGTATGCATCTCAACCCAAATAGCCAACCGTCACAATGTTGTTTATTCTTGATGACGTCCAGTAGATCCTTTTTAGTTCCTAGGAGCTAAAGTTCAACTTTGATATCTTTCGATAGATTGAAATGTAGGCAACAAATTGTTTCCGATAAACTTTTCGCACGTTTCAAAAATAAACTTTGTAGATAATAATGTTCATTTACTGGAAGAATCCAAATCTTCCAGTAATATTCTCTTTAGTCGGTTGATACTGATGTTCTGTCTTCATTTTTTATTTCTTATGATTCTAATGTTTGAAATACAAATTTCTATTTCAAAAATGGCCATGCAGTCAAACTTCTGATATATACTCGATTTATGTTAATTCTATCAGTATCTATAATGGTCTTTTTGCAAAAAACTACCAGCTCTACATGCCCTTACTAGATCTGATTCAACTGATGCTATTTCCAAAAATGGAAAGATTCTGCATTAGATATTGCTCCGAAAAAAAAAAGATGACATTGAGAGTTTACTTCATCAAAATTATTTGATTGTGAGGACATAGCAAGTAATTATGTAAGTAATGAAATTATATATACATATAGAAAATGAAGATGCTAATGTCACGACCTCAGATCAGCTAATAAGACACAAATTCACTGTCAATACTTTCAAGTCTTCTGTCGAACTTCTTTCTACAGAAAATACAGTCACACAGTGCGTACCGAGGTGCGTACTAAAGTATAACTTCGTAGATTCATGAAATTCTCTCAAATTGTATACTTAATTCATTCCTGGATGTGCAATACGATATAACATATATTGTAAAAGTAAAACTGCAATTATCATGTTGGAAGTTTACTGAAATCATCAGTATTTTCAACTCTACCACCTATATACATCCAGAGAGATACAAGAAATGCTAAATATTTTTTGCTCCGACAAATCATGCAATTTAAAAAAAAAGACAATGCCATGGAGATAATAATTTGAAATGCACATGCAAATAAGTACATGTTGATGTAAAATCGAAATATTTTTTTCATTTTATTGACAAAATTATAATTCCTGATAATAATGAAGAATTCTGAAACTAACAATTTATCCTTAAAGTGCATTCATGAGGTTGCAGATACACTATAATCATGTTACATTCACTGAAAGAATCCAAATCTCCTAGTACATATAATCGTAGTATTTTTTCCCAGATACTGTCGTGTTGCATCATCGGGTCTCAGATTTGTGATAAAAAACTTTTTCAGAATCTTTAAGAGGAATGTGTGATAAATTTTAGTTAGATTCAATGTTTTATATCAAAATTGACATTCTTAGCGAGCAAATATGTCAATTTATCGATATGAATCTATTATATTCATCATATCTGTGGATGGAGCTCTTGATATTATTTCATCTTCATTCCGCACTCATGCACCAGTATCTATCGCACTTAGGCGTTTAAGCTATGTAGTCTCCACGTTACAAAGGTTTATACATTTACATGCGAAGTAGATTTTTTTTTGTAATTTTTGAGTTTGTTCGTTTATAACTTTTTTCGTAGTCATGCTGGAATCTAATGATTCAATTGTTTCTTGATTGGATAGTGAGGGTCTGATATCTTTCTACTTCCAAAAATTGTTTTGATTACTTTTACCTTGGGTTCCGCTACACGCTACACTACAATTGAAAGTTGGGGTAACCGGTTGAACCGGAAGTGTTAAAATAAATATCTTATATCAACAATGATTGGGGAGATGATTTGTCTCATATTATCCACACTATTAATCAGATATTTTTTTATATACAGGGTGTTGCGAAATTCGGTATCAAGATTTCAGGGTCCTATTTTTCAGATCAAGATAAGACTGGAGTTTCCTATCAACATGTGTCCTGAAATGCTTCGTTACCGATCTAGAGAGAGTTGAAATTTCAAGATTTTTTTTTTTTTGTTAATAGCTCTTTAGGTTTTCGAGATATTTTTTTTAATGTTCTGGTTCCCACGAAAAGGGATATCCTATAATGTTCAGAGAACTTCAAGAGAACCAAGGGAAATAAGGCAGGAATTGGTGTTCTTCTTGAATATCTGAAGGTTATATGCCTCGAGGAACACCTCCCTTGGCAATGTGTTCCAGGACAGGTCGTATCTGTGGCTATGCACTTTTCGCAATTGATCTCACGTGATTTTCCCAAGATAGGTTATTGCTGAAAGTAATACCAATCATCGAAATGGACGTCTTCAAAGGTATGGTTAGTCCTGACATACTTATGTTATTCTGATCAAATTTGAAACATAGGTTACGTTCTCGGTTTCAGATCATACAGTATTCCGAGTGAAAACATGTGAAATTGAAAGAACATTGTGATATATAAATTGTCCAATGATGAAAAAAGAAGGGCAAACTGTTCTAAATGCGATCCAAAAGACAGGCGGAAAAGGAGGTGAAATTTGTAACTTTGTAGTGAAATATTTTGATAAATAATGGTTTTTGGATGTATGATAAATTGAAATTCTTTAATAATGTATTTCTTTATATATATCCATTTTTTCTGTTCATGAATATATCTGAGAATATTCTTTTTTAAATAATGGTTTGTTCACATTTTCATTATCGAATTCGTGTTTCTCAGGCAAAAGTACGTGAGTACCAAAAAAACAATTACAAAAAAAAACCCATCGCATGACAAATGCAGTTTTACCGCAAACTGTAACACACTGTAGATCAAATTGAAATTATTTACCTAAAGGAAGGAAACTATTATAACAATGAAAACAAAAAACGCTACATATTCAGTTTGTTATCTTGATCACAAGTGTCCAAACATTACCTTCCTTGAATTTTCATAAATAGTGCTGGAAAATCATAAAAATTTGAAAGTCTAATGCTCTGTCGTTGGATCCGTAACAAAGCGTTTGCGGACAACACATATTTTCGGGGGAAAAAGTCTTATTTTGACCCGAAAAATAAGTCCCTCAAATCTTGATACAGATATTCGAAACAACCTGTATATCTTACCCTCTTGAACTTGATATTTCCAACGTGGGGTTCACACTGTCGAAGTAAATACTTACGTCTTTTAGATAGGAAATGTTTGCTTTGGGACAACGTGAATCGAAGAAATTGGGATTTTTCTTCCAAGTATCGATCAATTTCTGAAGAAAAATGGGAATCCACACACAAAACTCCTTCCATTTTGAATATCCACACACACTGAAATGACAGGTACCCATGAGCTAATAAATTCAACTAGTATATATATTTTGTGAAAATGGTTACCAAAATGAAGAAATACAATGAGCACTTCATTATAATTCACAACTCCAACACATCAGCACTATAGACATATAGACACTGAAAGGATCAATTCGAAACAGTTCACGAAAATACAATAATTTTTTGTGGTTGATCGAGTAAAAACACGTTTTATTTTCTATGCCTAGAAGAAATGTCCAGCTAGTTGATCGTCTAATGAAATTGTTCCATGAAGGAGAGAGTGGGGCTAATGATAACATTTGTTATAAAATTCAGTAGATTCATTAAAGATGATAGGATATACCAAAATATATTACACGTCCTTCTCTTCTACAAGATGGAGGTGTCGGATTTATTGGATATCGACGTTTCGACATAAAGAATCCATCATCAACTCATTTTTCTTCATGCTCCGATCTATTTGAAAATAAACGTTTTGTGCTCCTATGTTACAACATGTTCAGGGTCATTGCGTACATTTGAAATGTTTGCTCCTTTGAACAATAAATAAATAATAAATGAATATCTTTATTTTCCTTTAGACTTTCTAAAAAAGTATAGGAATAGTCAGGTTGTTACAAATATATGAATCTGAAACTAGATAAATGTCAGATTACATAATATGATAGACCAACATTATATAAAAGAGGGAAACATGGTCATTTATGAAAATATTCGTTAAGCGAGTAGAAACACTTTTCTATGAGAAATGATTTCAAGCATTTTTAAAAAAAAGATACTTTTTTTGCGTTTTTCAAATATTCAGGTAAGTTATTGAATATTCTAGGACCTAGGATATTTGGTGTATTACTCAAAATATTTGTTCTGCTTGGTTGAATATAGAATTCGTTCCTCGAGCGTTAATATCTTCAACCTTATGAAATAAGGCTTGCAGGAATCCATTCTCTGAATGCCCATCATACTTCTTACAGCCTTTTTTTGAGCAAGAAAAATATCCTTCGCTGATGTAGATGACCCCCAGAAACATATACCATATCGGATACGTGAGTCGACTTGAGCAAAGTAGAGACTGCACAATTGATTTAAATTCAAGGTATATCTCAGAGTACTGAGTTGAAAATTTATAACATTTATTTTTTTCACAATGTATTCACAGTGCTTATTCCAGGTAAGACATTCATCAAGAAATACGCCTAAGAATTTAACAACCTCCTGATTCGTGTTAAGGGTTGACAGATCGCTTCACGTTGTGGTGGACGGTGTATCGTCTGATACTATTGGCATCAATTCCGGCGTTCCACAAGGATCAATTTTGGCACCAACATTATTCCTGCTTCATATCAATGATCTGTTGGGAGTAACAACTTGCCCCATCCACAGCTTTGCAGATGATAGTACCCTCCATACTGCGTTCTCTTCCAGAATTCCTATTTCTTCCCAGGAAACTAAGAACTCACGGCGCAGGCAGGTCAATGCTGTCAATGAAGATCTTGCTGAAATCACAGCCTGGGGAACGAACAACCTAGTTGAATTCAACGCCACCAAAACTCAAGCCTGCATTTTCTCTAGAAAGGCGGAACTCAGTATGCCCGATATTGTAATGTCTGGCTCCACCATCCCCACCAAGCCCACCATATCTATGCTCGGTATTTCCATCAGCAACACTCTTTCATGGGATAATCATGTCAGATCCATCGCAAAAGCTGCTTCACAAAAACTCGGATTCTTGTTCCGTGCGAAAAGCTACTTTACACCTCAACAGCTTCTCATGATCTACAAAGCGCAGATACGGCCTGTTCTAGAATACTGTTCCCACATATGGGGTTCAGCACCAAAACATACGCTGATGCTCTTAGATTCCATCCAGAGAAGAGCCATTCGCCTGGTGGGTGACGCCACACTCACTCACTCTTTGACATCATTGGAACACCGTAGAAAGGTCGGCGACCTTTCACTTTTCTATCGATACTTCCACGGGAAATGTTCTTCGGAAATCTCTGCAATCATCCCTTCACTAGCAATACCAATCAGACGAACTAGACAAGCCCAGTCAGCACATCCTTACGTCGTCAACCTCGAAAGATGTCGAACAGCACTTTATCAAGACTCCTTCATCCATAGAACGGCTAGGCTCTGGAATTCATTGCCTGTGGAAGTATTCCCAATAACATATAATCTCCAAAAATTCAAAAAAAATTCCAATACCTACCTCCTGTCCCTATCCCCCCTAGGAACGCACGATGTTCTTTGAACATTATAGGGATTCCCTTTCGTGCGCTCCAATCGATAAAAAAAAAAAAAAAAAACTCACCCACCCTAAAGCCCAGATCATAACATTGTTTTTGTCTCGAATGGAATCTAACTGATGAAGTCTTGCTGCTATTGAGAAACAAATCATTGCTTTTGGGTGTATGATAAATTGACATTCATCATACAGGGCGTGGAAATGAATTCTGAATTGAGACTCTATCACGAATCTGCGATTAGAGGTCTATAAAAATCACAAGTTTCCATCGTTCAAGTTTGAACCCCCTGATTGGGTATGAAAGTGTTGAAAATGAATATTCTCAGATAAATTATGAACATACAAAAATGGATATATATTTATATAAAACAATACATTGAGAATTCGCATTCTCTATGTGATGAGAATATTTACTCTTTTTCAGTTAATTCAATAGAAAACAACTACTTTCCTGGCTATATGCCACGACGAACATTGAATTATATCTATTGAACACACACGATAAGAGTTTGAAAATAAAATATAAAAATTTCTGAAATTGAGAATTTGCATTCTCCTTCAGACAAAAATATGTATATACACACATCATTCTGAATATTCAAGAGAAAACAACTACTTTCCTGGCTATTTGCCACGTCGAACATTGAATTATATCTGATGAACATTCAAAAGGGAACATGAAAAATAAAGAATAAAATCCTCCGAAATTGAGAATTGATATTCTTCTTCAAATCGGATGAATAATATGATGAATAATGATCTAGAAATATGACTTACCAATATATTCAGCATTGAAATGAAAATTGGAATGTATAGGAGAAGTATACTGGCATGAACTCTGATCTTGATGAGCTTGAAAACGTCCAAAAAATAATCATTCATATCAGTGATATGGGAAATATTATCTCTCGTCGTGTGTGTTCAAAAGATATAATTCAATGTTCGTCGTGGCATATAGCCAGGAAAGTAGTTGTTTTCTATTGAATTAACTGAAAAAGAGTAAATATTCTCATCACATAGAGAATGCGAATTCTCAATGTATTGTTTTATATAAATATATATCCATTTTTGTATGTTCATAATTTATCTGAGAATATTCATTTTCAAACAAATCATTGTTTGCAAACCATTCCTGTAGAATAGAGAAAGTGTTGTCAATTTTGCCTATTAGTTCTTTGTCAGTCCTATCAGAGATCATTATCGAGGTATCATCAGCATAACAGGTGAGGGATGCTGGAACATTCGATTCATTCATATCATTCGTACAGAGGTTAACAAGTATCGGAGCGAGGATGGACCCTTGCGGCACTCCCAGGGTTACGTTCTTGGCATTAAACCGAGAATTCTTCAAAGAGACAAATTGTGAGCGATTTGATAGATAACTGGATATCCATGCGAGAGCGATTCCTCTTATTCCGTATCTGTACAGTTTTTCGACAAGAATTTCATGACTTACGCAGTCGAATGCCCTGCTCAGGTCTATGAAAATTCCGACAGGGCACTCGTCTACGTCTACATAGTTTGCTATTTCCGAGTAGTATGATTGAATTGCTGAGGATGTTGATCTTTCCTGAGTAAAGTCATGCTGATTATCAGATATAATTTCATTCGTTCTTTTGAAACTGGGAAGTCTGTGAAGGAAGGCATATTCAAAGGGCTTAGTCTGTTGTATGATCGAAGGTTTGTTCATTCTACAGGATTCATTATTGCAGTATTTGAGTCATTTTTTCTCGAACCAAACCAGGCAAACCAGGTAAAGTTTATCATGACGTCACGGTAACTTCATTATGACGTCACGGTTCACTTGTGGAGTGGAGCTTGACAGATTTCAGTTCATTTATTAGCTGTTGTTATTTATTTATTGGCAAAATCCCTGTTTGGTTTCAGTGGCCTTATTTGGATTCGCCTTTTGACCATGGAAGGAGACACATGGCGTCTCCAGGACAAAAGTCAGGTTAATGTGTGTGCAAATCTAACATTTTTTTAATTACCTGATCTCGACTAAAATCCAAAATTTATTGTGAAGTTCAATAAGTGTGTGAAAATTATCAGGCCGTTTTATCTTTACGCTGTTATAGAGGCTGGATGATGATGGATTCATCGGGCAAAGGAGCCATACTTGAAATCAAACGTGCTCCATTTTTCTACGCCGGTAACCAGGCCGGATCAGCAACGGATTTGCTGGATAAGAGGAGTACATCCCATATAGCACAAGTACGTCCCCAAAACGTACCGAGAACGTCCGGCCAAGACGATTCGTACGTACTGATGGGGACGTCCAGATTTGGTACGGTCGACGTCCAGATTCCGCGCGTTTGTACATCCTCAGTACGTCGATTCAGGACCATGAATACATGAATCAACGTAGATCCGCCTCTTCTCACTCAGATAGTCAAAAAAGAGATCTAGATAAAGTAGAAAGTCTTATTTTGGATAAAAAGAAACGCTTCTACCGGGGATCGATCCCACGACCTTAAGATCACCAGGCAGACTTGTTGATTAACACGGCAGAGAATACCTAAATAGATATATAACTTATATACGATCGAATCTTATGAACACTGTTGACTCGGCTTCAGGCCATTGTGATAGACAATCGGTGTTTTATGTGGCGAGTCGAGTGATAATATTATTACATAACCAAGTATTTATTCCTGAAGAACAAATAAATCACCTGATATGGAGAAATTGTTACCGAAAGGAGACAGAAATCCAATAAACCCAAAGAGAGAAAACAAAAGCGGCAATATTGTGATTGAGAAATTCATCATTTGTAACAAAATGATACAATATAATATAGATAGATATTAGGTACTTACCTACCTACTTCAAATCCAAGAAAATTTGA